TGCCATTACAGCTGTGTTCAAAATATCGATATGGCAATATCACCAACACTGTATCAATATTTATGAATTTACTTCTTCACAGTGCTTTAATGTGTAATACTGCAAGTCTCAGACCCCTACAATTTATAGCATAAAGCATGTGGTAAACATGATCTAATAGAGTTCAGCTCTTATTAATAATCATTTCATGTAATAATTCTCTGTGAGAGAGATTAGAGGCATTGAGCTCTTCAAACGCCTGGTTCTTGTCACTGCCACTGTGAACAACTCTGACTCTGTAAGTTTTTCCACAGTGGAACATTTTGTATCAAACTATTTTTTTGCATCTTAATGATGAAATTGTGCTTAAAAATCATGTAATTCTCCTTTAACACAGCTTTTAACAGATACAGATATCAGTACTAAGCTCACACCTGCCTCAGCTGCAAATGATCATTTCTGTCACGTGTTGACTTTGGCATGTTAGAGGATGAAAACAATAGAATTGTGAATTATCTAATCAACTTTGTTGTTTTCAATCCTTCCAAAGGAACATCCTCTCTTTGGGCCTCATCCAGTATGGTGGCAGTCCATATCATTCTCAACACTCAACTGTGCTCTTACACAAGTGGCCTCATCCTGATGCTTCTTTCATTACACTGAACATCATTGTCTGAACATCAGCTATGCGTGTGAGCTGAGTGCCACGCTGGAGTTCATGCATAGGTATTATTTAAAGCCTTGTCACATTTCTTTGTGTACTAAATGCCTGAGTTGATTTTAGATGAGTAAAATTATGTATACTGTACATTATATTCTACTTATAAAGAGAATATATAATGCTTTCCCTTTTATTTACTGTGTTATGTAGCTTTTTGTGCATGTAAGATTCAAAGCTGAAAGTATCTGCCAGAGGGAGAAACTCTCTCCCACAGAAACCACTTTTCTCAGCTGCCTGAGGGCTGGAGTTCCCAGCCCTTTTCCTTTGTTACAAGATGATGTAATCCCATAACACAATCCTTATTGCCCACCTACCAGCGAGCTTGGTATGCCCTCACACAACGCAACGCATCTACCGGAGGCCATGTATTGGCGGAACCGCTCTGGTGCTTGATCAGTCAGAGCCAAGTGAGCGAGCTAGCTAATCTGAGCATACTGGGCTCATCAGGAAGGAGGGGCTTAAAGACACTGGAGCTCTAACAGAGCGTTTCAGACAGAGGGTGGGTGAACAATTACAGTATGAGAAAAATAATGTGTTTCTGGAACACTGAAGCATGTAAATGTATTATAGTCGACCCCAAAAATAAATTTATGAACATTGGAAATTAGCATAACAGGTCCCCTTTAAATTCAGCCTGCTTGTGTACGCAGATCCAAAAGTAATTTCAAATTTATTGTCTTAAAATTGATTTTTTAACAGATGCATTTTCCTCATATCTCTGACAAAGAAGACCAACACTGAGAAAAAACAGAGGAAGAAGCGACGGGCTGTGAATCTGACAGCTCTCTCACTCATCACGGATTTAACTCTGAAAGGAGAGATCGGTAACATTAGCAGTGCGATATCAGTAATGTTAGTGTTCAGGCATTACGGCATGGACATATGCACACTGAGTTATCTGTGTCCTGTTTCCTGTGTCCACATATGTCCACATAAAATGTCCACAGCTTGGCTCTATTCCAGCTCCCAGCACATCTGTGTCTGGTATTAATTGTTTGACAGCTGATCATTATCTGGCTCAGGTATGTTAGGAGTGCTGCTGGGGTTCAGACCTCTGTATTACTCTGTTGGTCAGTTTTTTTTAGTCCATTTGAATTTGTCTTAAAATAGTTTCCCATCATTTATAATTGTTCATAGTACTATATTGCTAATAACCTCAGCATAACTTATATACGGAGTAACAGCAGACCTTAAAATCAGATTCATTGGTTTGTGGAACTGTGTATTTATTGCAGTATATTTCAAATTTCTATACAAAGTCAGTTAACATGTTTTTCTCTGTCTGTAGAACATATCAAGTGTGATGACGCTATTGTACTGTGCATATACACAGTTGTAAAAACAATAACTGTAATCTATATTTTTGAAAGCTATGTGGGTGCTTTTTCATGGGCTATGCTTTGGATTGAGTAAATTATTTGAATATAGAAGTATTCTGAATTTTTAACAGATTAACAAGGAAATACAAAATTGTAAAAAAGTGATTTTCCATACCCCTTTAAATTACATTACTGTAATTCATGCATACTTATTACTGTTCTTTGTTCTCATTCTTATTATTATTTTAAAAGTTGATAAATGATACCTTCATTAAAAAATGAAGCAACTGTAAAATAGTAATTGTAAAAAAATGTTTAACACATTTTTAAAACATTAAGGGTTAATTACTATAAAAAGGTATTTAAAAGAACTGAATTAGATTTTTAAATTTTGCAGCAACGCTGTATTACAAAATAGTTGCATAAGAGTCTTCCCTCACACTACCACCATGTTGAAGGCATGGTCTGAACTCACAAATAAATTTTCACTGATTCCATAAACTTTTCTAATGCAACAGAAACATTTAAAGGCGAATTCCAGGTTTTTGTACACTTGATTCTGTCATTGCGATGTAAACAAGGTAATTTAGTGGTTTCATATAAAATGGTTATTGTAGTGAAAGTTACAGACTGGGAACCATGTGCCTATTATTATTATTATTATTATTATTACTTTTGTTGTTAAATTTGTTCTGAAATGTATAAATGTACTATGTACTAATGTATGTAATGCTTGTATGTCAATAAAATAATATACAATGTATATATATTAAAATAAGTGATACCATTATGCATCCTACATAGAACAAAAAAATAAATAATGAAAAAAATTTAATTACTAGAATTTTTGCTATAAATAATGTTACGTTTTAAAATTCCCTTAAAAAAAATTAAAAGTAAAAGATTTATTTAAAAAAAAAAATATAGGTAAAATTTAAAAATACGTATTATGCATCCTACATCTTGAGACATCTTGGGATGTTATTATTGCCAAGACATCTTAAGATCCGTGTCTATAGACACGTCTTAAAGACATGTCTTCATTTCTTAAGACATGCCTCAAGATGTCCTAAGACGTCTTCATAATGTGTCTTTAGACATATCTTAAGACATCCCAAGACATGGTGATGGCTGGGTATGAACGTATATACGGAATAACAGCAGACCTTAAAATCAGATTCATTGGTTTGTGGAACTGAGTATTTATTGCAGTATATTTCAAATTTCTACACAAAGTCAGTTAACATGTTTGTAGAACATGTCAAGTGTGATGACGCTATTGTACTGTGCATATACACAGTTGTAAAAACAATAAACAATAAGTGTAATCTATAATTTTTGTAAGCTATGTGGGTGCTTTTTCATGGGCTATGCTTTGGATTGCAGAGTAAATTATTTGAATGTAGAAGTTTTCTGAATTTTTAACAGATTAACAAGGAAATACAAAACTAAAATACTGATTTTCCATTAATTCCTTTAAATTACATTACTGTAATTTATGCATACTTATTATTGTTCTTGTTCTCCTTCTTCTTATTATTATTTTAAAAGTTGATAAAATGATACCTTCATTAAAAAATGAAGCAACTGTAAAATAGTAATGGAAAAGAATGTATTTTTAACACGTTTTTCCCACATTTTTTAAAACATTAAGGGTTAATAACTATAAAAAGGTATTTAAAAGCACTGAATTAGATTTTTAATCTACAAAATAGTTACAAAATAGTTTCATAAGAGGTTCCCTCACACTACCACCATGTTGAAGGGATGGTCTGAACTCACAAATAGATTTTCACTGATTCCATAAGCTTTCCTAATGCAACAGAAACATTTAAAGGCAAATTCCAGGTTTTTGTACACTTGATGTAAACAAAGTCATTTAGTGGTTTCATATTCATGTTTTGAAATGTATAAATGTAGTATGTACTAATGTATGTAATGTTTGTATGTTTATAAAATAATATACAATATATATATTAAAATAAGTGATACTATTATGCAGCCTACATAAAAATTAAATAATGAAAAATTAATTACTAGAATTTCTGCTATAAATAATGTTACGTTTTAAAATTCCCTTAAAAAAATTTAAAAGTAAAAGATTTATTTAAAAAAATGTAGGTAAAATTTAAAAATACGTATTATGCATCCTACATCTTGAGACGTCTTGGGATGTTATTATTGCCAAGACATCTTAAGATCCGTGTCTATAGACACGTCTTAAAGACATGTCTTCATTTCTTAAGACATGCCTCAAGATGTCCTAAGACGTCTTCATAATGTGTCTTTAGACATGTCTTAAGACATCCCAAGACATGGTAATGGCTGGGTGTGTAGTACACCAGCACATACTGAGCCATATTTACAGCCAAGATGATAAAATGGACATAATGTCGTGGCTCACAAGGTGGATTGATTTTTGTTGAAAGGACAGAATGACTCTTCTTAACCTTTGGGCTGCCAACCTATATCCTACATGATCCTCACCCACACAAGAGCAATGCCGCCTCTGCGTTTGACAGAAACTGTAGGTCTACAAACACATTGCACAAGACGCAGACAAATTGCCAGTGTTAAGTTTTTGGGAAAAAAGTTTGAGTTCAGACTGCAACATCTGGCAAAACTAGCATGGCACTGCCAGTCAACCCCAACCAATCCTGTGGATGCAGAGAGTCTGTGTGAAAACATGAACATGTACTTTTGTCTCTGAGACAGAGCGTGAAGCCTAGCAGCACTGCTGAATGTTCTAGGCTTCATTCAGCCATTTAGTCTGGCTATGCTGTGTATAGTAAATAGCATTCTTAGCAATTTACAGGGTATTAAATGACTGCTGTGAAATGTAGTACAAGAATCTGTGGAGTCTGTGATTCTTGGAAAACAACGTCTGTGAAATTAAGCTCATTTTCCCATGAATTTAGCAGGTCTCTACTTATCACATATTAGATCTTCACATACAACGTATAAATGAACTTTACACTCACCTAAAACATTCACTGTAACAGTCACAGAATCAGAGCCTTTGTCGTTGTAGGCAGTGCAGCTGTATTGACCCTGATCTTCTGACCCGACAGTGCTGATGATGAGGATGGAGGAGTTCATGAGGTTCATGTTTCCAGGTGAGCTCCAGGTGTACTGAGGACTGGGGTTACCATGTGCTGAACAGTTCAGGACCAGCTCATCGCCCCTAATCACAGATTCGACACCGCCAGAGGGCCTTGATATGCTGGGTTTATCTGATGAGAAACAGAGAGAGCACTGTGGGACAGAGATTATGGTTTATTCTTTAATAGAGATTAAGTTAAAAATTAGTACAGGAAACTCCAACAGTTCAGGTGCAATCATATATTTTTTTATATATGATTGACGCAAACCTTTTACAGCACATAATGATGTAGTATTAGAGTCCTGGATTTGCCTGACTGGAAAAAACTAACTGAAATATGTAGATATAAAATCTAACATTTCTTCTTTGTGCTGTTTTCTGTTGAACATTTTCAGCTTTTGGCAGACGCTCTTAGCCAGAGCGACTTACAGTTTGATCATTTTCTACATGTAGGTGAAGGTAGTGTTAGGAGTCTTGCCCAAGGACTCTTATTGGTATAGTGTAGGGCGCTTGCCTAGGCAGAGGATTGAACTCCAGGCTACAGTGTACAAGGTGGAGGTCTTACCCACTACACTACACCAACCATGCCACAAATATGTAAAAGACATGTAAATACATGTAAAATCCCTGCTTTCTATAATAATTTGCATTTAACTCCCGTTTCTACTTTTGTGGAATTGGGTTTGTACATATTACAGCTGATGTTAGCTAGCTAGCTAAACCGCTTGCATGTTTCCATGAAGACAGTGGGTGACTCTGTACTGGTGAAGGTAGTATCTGGACTACAGCACTGCTACACAGTTCTGTTCACAGGTGTAATAAACTCACAGTGTACTGTGATGTTCAGAGGTTCTGATGTTCCCACTTGTGGTTGTTGGAGCTGCTCCAGCTTCAGTAGAGCTGCACACTGATACTGGACTCCATCTTCATCACGGCTGGCTAGGACCTCCAGTGTGGCCGTCGCATCCACGCTCCCTTTCTGTTTTTCAGAAATACTGAAGTTTCCATATGACATTTCAGTGACTGTTCTGTTTTTATTCTGGTCCACTCTGGTCCACTGTACAGTAAGATTCTGCACCGGTCCTGTATTCTTAATCTCACAATTCAGCTTCATCATCTGACCTTCTGACCACACGTTGGACACAGAGCTTAAATTCGTAGTGTGTGGATGCTCTGCAGAGAGAGACAACATCCACAAACAGTTCATATTTCAATTCAATTCAAGGTTTATTTATATAGTTCTGTTTTACCACAAGTACTTTCACAAAGCAGCTTTACAGAGAATCCAGGTCTAAACTCCAAACTGGCATTGTCCAGGGCAACTCTACTGTAGTCCTCTAATGAAGACACAAGGAAAATGAACACCAGCATTCTTTATCACTAGGGCCCTACCAAATTCACAGTCGTGAAAATCGAGTCACAAAATGAGCGAATTCCTGTGTAATAGACAATTTCCTGTGAAATTCAAGACTTGAAGTGGGTTTGTGTTTAGTGATTTGACAATTTTGATTCACAAAGCACTGAAATGCCTCATGTTCAGTGGTTAATATGTACTATGAAGCATTCTTAGCAATCCTACAGCAAGCATATGAGTTAGCAATGGGTTAGTCATGATGTCCAAGATGTCTAAAGCAGCAAAAAAACAACACTACTTCAGAGAACAGAGTAAATGAGTTTGAACAAAATGTTTTACCCGCTGATGATGGTAAATTATTTTGTACTAGTTGTTGTGTCTTGTTAGATTACACCCAGCGAGCAACGGTTCAGCACCACTTGGAGAGTAAAACTGATCTTCACAAAAAGAGGGCTGTTGGAAAAGAGCCACAAGAGGGAGCCAAGAAGAAAAAGATGATTAATGTTGAAGAAAAGAACTGAGAGCACAGAGGTTCACTGTTTGGCAACTGTGGAACTCGCCAACGTAAACGTTCCACTGAAAAAGCTTGATCACACCAAACTAAGAGACCTTCAACACAATGTCAAAATCACAGGAGGTTTACCAAGAGCAAATAAACTCAGACAGGACTACTTTCCCAGGTCTTTTAGACACAGTTTGAAGAAGTGAAGTCACTCACAAATTCATGTGATTCTTTTTGAGTAATTTCGGACAAGTTTACCAGTGAAGAGGTCAAGTATGTTTTGCAGGTTATTTTCAGTTTCATGTTGGACAAAGATGAGGATGTTAGGAGTAGAGCTCTAAACGATGTGCTGGCTGATTGGGTTTACAATACCACAGTTTCACAAGCCATAATTAAAACTCTCACATAATAAAGTGCAGATTTTAAGGTTTGCTTTCATTACTGACAAAGTAACCTACGTGATAAAGTCCTACAAATCTGTCCTGCAGGATCTCATGCCAAATTTAGTGCATATCTTATGCAATGCACACCTTATTTCTCTGGTCATCTAGAGTCGTTGAGTTGGTAAGCTATGTCAAAATGGTCATCAAGCATTGCCCCAGTTGCTAACTATGCATTTCGGCAAACCATCAAAGAAAAGACAAAAAGGAAAAAGTATGGGACAAATTGAACTGCCACCTGATCCGGTGATTGCATGGTGGAACTTGTGGTTATGAGGGTTATGAGCAGTACAGTACCACACAGCTCATCTGGACATTACACAGAGTTTGTGGATCAAGACCTTGTACTGATACCCTGAACACAGGCATTGATGGAAATGTTAAACCAACACCAGCTACACCAGCGGTCAATGTCCTACACCAGCGGTTGGAAACACACAACTCTGGAGCCGCATGCAGCTCTTTTGCTGCCCTGTTGTGGCTCCACAGCTGAATTAGATTTGTAGGTAAAAATAAAATAATCCTCCTTTACAGTAAAATAAAGCTCTGCTGATCATTCAACACAGTTTAACACTAAATGGTCTTAAACTCTGGAGTTAATGTAGAACTGCTGATTCACCCTTTAACCCTATGCAGATAACAATCTCGCCTAGCTAGTAGCCAATGAAAATGTGAAGAGAGAGATTTAAGATGAACATCGATAATTTGGAGATGAATAGATTTATTTGCATTTATAATCACTCCAGCTGGTTTCCTGATACATTTAATCTGCAGCGAGACACAAACACTAAAAAGTCATGAGGCTGCAGTCAGTGTCTCATTTTCTGGCTTCTTGTTTGCATTGTCCTGTTCCACCTTCAACGGTGCAGCAGTTTCAATCTGGCAATGCAGGCACCCTTTAAGGAATGGGAAAATTCAAACAAGAAGCTGGCCAAAGACAAGCTGACTTCAGTCTCGTTAAAAAACTGAACGTTGAGAGACATTTTACAAGGAACTGTTCTACTTCTGCCTAAAAGTTTCCTGCTGGAGATGTGAGAAAAGAGATTGTAGCTGAGCTAAAGCTTAAAACGGAGCAAAGTAAGTCTGTGTTTTCGTTTTATTATATTTTTTAGTCTATACTAGTACATCAGCATATACTGAGACATATTTACAGCCAAGATGGTAAAATGGACATAAAAATGTTGTGGCTCCCAAGGTGGATTGATTTTTGTTGAAAGGACAAAATGGCTCTTCTTAACCTTTGGGTTGCCAACCTATATCCTACACGATCCTCACCCACACAAGGTCCAGTTAATTTCCAAAAATGCCACCAAGCTAATGGACTTGATCACTTGGTTTGAATCTTGACCTGTTTTGATTCACAAGGCATACAAAAGATTTACTCTGCGCAGCAACAGAGTTGAACCAAACCCTCTCTGATTGCTCAGAGTTAAACACAAGAGCGCATCACTTGTTTCCCTGCATCATTCAGATGATCAGGCAGTATTGCTGCTATGGAGATGAGTCAAATGAGAGCATCATGCAAAGTAGTCTTCATCAACCAGCAGCTGAATTCCTGAAAGAAGTGCAGATTTTTGATCCTGCACATGATCTCCAACAGTGGATTTAAATTCACTGAGCAATGCCGTCTCTGCGTTTGACAGAAACTGTAGGTCTACAAACACATTGCACAAGACGCAGACAAATTGCCAGTGTTAAGTTTTTGGGAAAAAAGTTTGAGTTCAGACTGCAACATCTGGCAAAACTAGCATGGCACTGCCAGTCAACCCCAACCAATCCTGTGGATGCAGAGAGTCTGTGTGAAAACATGAACATGTACTTTTGTCTCTGAGACAGAGCGTGAAGCCTAGCAGCACTGCTGAATGTTCTAGGCTTCATTCAGCCATTTAGTCTGGCTATGCTGTGTATAGTAAATAGCATTCTTAGCAATTTACAGGGTATTAAATGACTGCTGTGAAATGTAGTACAAGAATCTGTGGAGTCTGTGATTCTTGGAAAACAACGTCTGTGAAATTAAGCTCATTTTCCCATGAATTTAGCAGGTCTCTACTTATCACATATTAGATCTTCACATACAACGTATAAATGAACTTTACACTCACCTAAAACATTCACTGTAACAGTCACAGAATCAGAGCCTTTGTCGTTGTAGGCAGTGCAGCTGTATTGACCCTGATCTTCTGACCCGACAGTGCTGATGATGAGGATGGAGGAGTTCATGAGGTTCATGTTTCCAGGTGAGCTCCAGGTGTACTGAGGACTGGGGTTACCATGTGCTGAACAGTTCAGGACCAGCTCATCGCCCCTAATCACAGATTCGACACCGCCAGAGGGCCTTGATATGCTGGGTTTATCTGATGAGAAACAGAGAGAGCACTGTGGGACAGAGATTATGGTTTATTCTTTAATAGAGATTAAGTTAAAAATTAGTACAGGAAACTCCAACAGTTCAGGTGCAATCATATATTTTTTTATATATGATTGACGCAAACCTTTTACAGCACATAATGATGTAGTATTAGAGTCCTGGATTTGCCTGACTGGAAAAAACTAACTGAAATATGTAGATATAAAATCTAACATTTCTTCTTTGTGCTGTTTTCTGTTGAACATTTTCAGCTTTTGGCAGACGCTCTTATCCAGAGCGACTTACAGTTTGATCATTTTCTACACGTAGGTGAAGGTAGTGTTAGGAGTCTTGCCCAAGGACTCTTATTGGTATAGTGTAGGGTGCTTGCCTAGGCAGGGGATTGAACTCCAGGCTACAGTGTACAAGGTGGAGGTCTTACCCACTACACTACACCAACCATGCCACAAATATGTAAAAGACATGTAAATACATGTAAAATCCCTGCTTTCTATAATAATTTGCATTTAACTACCGTTTCTACTTTTGTGGAATTGGGTTTGTACATATTACAGCTGATGTTAGCTAGCTAGCTAAACCGCTTGCATGTTTCCATGAAGACAGTGGGTGACTCTGTACTGGTGAAGGTAAGTATCTGGACTACAGCACTGCTACACAGTTCTGTTCACAGGTGTAATAAACTCACAGTGTACTGTGATGTTCAGAGGTTCTGATGTTCCCACTTGTGGTTGTTGGAGCTGCACCAGCTTCAGTAGAGCTGCACACTGATACTGGACTCCATCTTCATCACGGCTGGCTGAGACATTCAGTGTGGCCGTCACATCCCCGCTCTTTCTCTCCTCTCCAGAAGAGCTGAAGTTTCCATATGACATTTCAGTAACTGTTCTGTTTTTATTCTGGTCCACTCTGGTCCACTGTACAGTAAGGTTCTGTAAGGGACCCACATTCTTAATCTCACACTTCAGCTTCATCATCTGACCTTCTGACCACACGCTGGACTCAGAGCTGATCTTCACACTGTCTGGACGCCCTGCAGAGAGAGGTATTTTAAAATGTATCTAAAAAGTGCTTTTTACAACAGGCATTTTCACAGAGCAGCTTTACAGAGAATCTGTGTTTCAGCCCCAAATGAGCATCACTGAGAGCAACAGTGGAAAGAAAATCTCTCTAAGATCAAGAGGAAGAAACTCTGAGAGGAAGCAAGACTCAAAAGGGGAACCCATCCTCCTCTGGTCAACACATGAATTGATAAACAACAGTGAAAATTACATTGACTTGTTAGGCTAGGCAAACTAACACTCGTTGATTAGGCAAACTAATGTTAGAAGGATAGGAAATGTAGCATTATCTAGAACATAGAAAAAGGAAAGAACTGAGTCTGTCATTGGACAGGAGTGCTTATATTAACTAATGAGAGCTGATGACTGTTAAAGGCCTCTCAGTCTAACAAATGAGAACCAGATCAATGAAAACCGATGATTACTGTTAGAACCGTATCCCAGTGATCAGTTCTGTGGTTGGAGCGTAAATCCACAGTAAACTCTGTGATCAGAGGGAGGATCTGTGTAAGGCAGTGAGTGGAAAGAGGAAAAGCAGCTTTCAGCATTTCAGCACTGCAGTACTGAGGAAACTGCACAGGTGGGATTACTGTACTCACTGTAAAGACTCAGATGGACCCTCTTTTTACATTGTTCTTTATTCGGCACTGTCAGGAAACAGAACAACTCTCTTCCGTTCACCTCCCACTGTGTCAGACCGGGTGATCTCCACATCACACTGGTTTCACTGTCTGTTTGAACAGGATTAATCTGAGACTCCCAGCCCAGAATGTGCTGTGATGAAGGTGGTTTGGATGGTATGGAGCAGTTGAGTTCAACAGGTTCTCCGTACTCCACCAGCAGGGACTCATGGGAAACAGTGAGTGTTGAACAGCCATCTGTCAATGAAATCATAAAGCACAAAAACACAGTTAAATACCAATATGTCATAATGTTTACATCCACAACAACAACATAGCAGAGTCTGATTACACACAGACACATCAGACTGGTTTAGCATCTACAAAATCTCCTAATGTGAGTAATGCCAGAGCTGCAACGCTGCTGGTTTCCTTACACTCCACTGCTCAGTCAAAGTCTTTTGAATTCACCAGACTAGCAGAGCGTCTGTCAAAATTATTCATAACAAAAAAAGTTGATCAAATTGCTGGATATAAAAATCACAAAGACAATAATGTAAACATAAACTGATCAAGAAGAATAAAATGTAATAATAAAAATAATAATGATAACAATAGTAGAGTTAAATCAATAAAATTATGAGGAAATCAAAATGTTAGTGTAAAAACTTCCATCACTCCTTTCAGTTCGTCTCATTTATCGTCCTAAACTGAGAACACTGGGGCTTATGATATAGACACACCATGCTCAAATGACTGGGCTCAGAATATGGTTCTAAATCTGATTCAGAGTCTGAGTCAAATTCAAATTTTAAATGTGATTCAGTCATCAAGCACTTTCTCACAGAATCAGATTGTGAAACAGAGAATAAGAATTGGAAACGAATTCTGATTCTGATTTGGAGTCATCTAGTAGTTTCTGACTCACAGAATTAATTCTGTTATACCACAAACACTTTAATGCTGCATCTGGATTTGTTATTAATAATAGTCACTAATGCACTTTGTGCTGCAAAGTACACATCGGCAGTGCACAGCTTTGTTTACATCCGGGATCATCCTGCAGGAGATCCTAGTGCATCTGAGGTCTTGCAAGCCGTCCCAGGGGTGCAAAGCCAGAGCAAAACAACAGGTAAAGCAGAGAGGTACACACCTGTGATCCGTCAGTGATTACAGGCAATATGAGATCTCTCTCAAACAAAATGGATGAATGAACACTGTTAGCTCAGAGTCAGTGGGAATTCTGGGAAGGTAGGTTTATGTGTTTTACTGAGACCTGGCTGCACAAACTGATTCCTAAAGCTAGTCGAAGGCTTTCAGGTGGTTAGAGAGGACCAGAACAGCGCAGAGAGTGGAAAGAGAAGAGGAGGTGGATTGGCACTGTTTTTCAACAGTATTTGATGCAATCCAGGTCACATTACTGTAAAGGAACAATTATGTACCCTGGACGTTGAGCTATTAGCAGTTAGCATGTTATCGCAATATTGGTGTACATCCCACTGTCTGTTGTTGCTGCCTTTGTGTGTAACATCACCCACAATGCGACGGGAGGACTACTGGGGACTTTAGCCATGCCAATCTTTCCTGCATTCTACTCACATTCACAGTCTGTCAGGTTCATCACCTGGGAACACAGGACACTGGACCTGCTATATGACAATGTCAAAGAGGCCCATGCTAGAGGACCCCATGCTAAGGACATGAATGGTTGCTGTGTAACAAACTACATAAAATGTATTTGTAGACAATACTGTGCCATTCAAGGCTGCGTTGGGTCACTAGCAATCTGAAGGCACCACTGAACAAGAAGAAGAGGGCTTTTAGGGCTGGCAGTAGGGATGGTGTGAGAAGCATGCAGAGGAAGCTGAAGGTGAGAATTAGAGAGTGTAGGGAGGACTACAGGAGAAAAATAGAGAGCAATCTTCAGAGGGTTGAGGTGAAAGCTTGGTGGGACGGAATAAGGAAAGTGTTTCACTATAAACTGCCTTGCAGTCAGCAGACTGAGGAGAGCTGGATGAGGGCAAATGAGCTGAACACTTTCCACAATAAGATTGGTAGTGGGTCATTCACCAATACATCACCTGGGACATCACCGCATCTCGCCCTCCCTTTGTGTCCTCCTCAGCCCCAAAACAATGATCACCCCCAGTGCCCCCCCCCCTTTCCTCATCCAGACCTCTACACCACAGCTGATCAGGTGAGAAGAGAGGCACAATGACTGAGTGCAGGAAAAGTGGAGAGCCCTGGTGGTGTCAGTGCTAAAGTGCACTTTTGCAGGTCTTTTCTTTCTACAGCTGTCAGACTGTTCAACTCTGCACTCTAATTCATTTAATACTGTACATCACTGTATCATCTGCACTACACTTGCTTATTCTGCTCTGGTCATGCTCTTTTGCACAATACTGTATGTTACAGAAGTTCTGCAATGGGTTTTCTGTGACTGACATAACTCTGACATAAATGTTTATAAATGCTTATTCTAGTAGGTACCATATTTATCCTAACAGGTGTCATTTGCCATAAAGGTAACATTTGCAAATTTTGATCAAAGTTAGCTAAAGTAGCTTTTATGACAGGTTACTTCTACTGAAATAAGCATTCATAAATAGTTCTATAGTGTTATATCAGTTGTCATGAAAAGCTTGTGTATATCTTATTTTTATTTCTGTCTAATTTATGTCTATTTTATTTCTATTTTTATTTCAACCTAATAGCTCCAAGTTCATGTGCAATTAGGCATCTTGCTACTTTAACACTGCAATTTTCCTTTGGGATCAACAATCTACAATATCTATCTATCTATCTATCTATCTATCTATCTATCTATCTATCATGAAATGAATTTCAATCCAAGATGGCACTGCGGGTGGCAGCCATGGTGAGACATACGTTTTGAATTTATTTTTGTTTGTTCATGTACTGTGAATTCAGTCAGTTGGAGCAGAAAACAGTTGCTTAACTTCAGGGACAATGTTTCACTTGATATCATCAGTTTATTCAAAACTTGTCTGGTCTCTTAACATTCTGACTTGAGGCTGACATGTAAATTTTTTACATATTGTTGTTGAAGATCCAGTGTGAGGATGTAACTCCACCAAAGAGCAGGGCGGATCAGAGCGTTACATAACAGAAAGAGTAACAACCACAGACTGACACACAGACAAACACACGTGTCTGAACACACACTCAGACTGTACTGCTGTGTGTATGAGTGTGTGTGTGTTTGTGTGTGTAGGGTGAACACTAATCCTTTCACTGTTCTGAGGCTTTTCCTTTATATTGGAAACAACCGAATAAGCCACCCTGCTTTATAATAAAAGGCAAAACGTAAAGATCATTTTTTTTCTTTTTGCAAATTGAAAATACAAGATCACATACAAACACAAATTTGGTACAGACGGAAAGTTTAGAATCTGCATGTTGCAAACAATTTCTCCCTTTATAGTTACTGGGGTTAGTAGAACACAGAAGACTGGAACTACCATAGGTAAAAGCCTGAAAGACACCTCCAAGAGGAAGATCTCTAAACTCTGGCACTACCAAGATTAACATGATAACATAATACCAAGACTGGCATTACCAATCAAAGCAGCCCTAAAACTCACACTACCAAGAGTACGAGCCCTAAAGACCAGCACTTTCAAATCTAGCAGCAATAAACACCGGCAGTACCAACAGTAAGGAGGCCTAAGGACTGACACGACGAAATCTAAGAGCCTTAAACACTGAAAGTAACGAGAATAAACCCCATAAAGTCTTGCATTTTCCACAGAATTTCTCCTCTTGTTTCAGTGAAGAGTTAGTGATATGTAACCTTAGCTGACAGGAAACTTTCTATGCCATCATACTCCCCACTCACCCTCCTACTCCGTGTGTACTCACCAGTGTGTGTGTATTCCACATACACTCCCATCACAACCAAAAACACAGGCAGAACACACACTGTCATCCTGAACCAACTCCAGAACTCCACAGAGTGGAGAAAGGAGAAAGGAATATTAAACACATCAGATTCCACAATTACAAATACAGCCTCCCAACTGACCACTCACTGACCACTCCTCACTCACTTCCTCTCTTTCTTTATCTGACTGGCACGTCCAGAACCAGATTCCTGTGTGTCTCTGTGTGTGTGTGTGTGTGTGTGTGTGTGTGTGTGTGTGAGAGAGAGAGAGAGAGAGAGAGAGAGAGCACGCGAGAGAGAGAGAGCGCGAGAGAGAGAGAGAGAGTGCGAGTTTTCACGGACTAGTAAATCATTTCCTGATACACACACTGATGTAAAAAACGCCCAACCCTTAAAATTTCCCAACACTTCAATCTGTGGATCAGGAAGATCAAGAAACGAAGGAGAGAAAATATAAGAGAGAGTGTGTGAGTGAGTGAGAGAGAGAGAGAGACAATGCAACCCAACTGTCAGAAATGTTTGGTCAGACTGTCAGAGGAAAAAAAGCTCTTAAATGACCAAAAAGTGCAAAATGTAAGCAATAAATTGTGTTTCCTAAATTGTGACTGCATAATTTAAGCAATTCCTCAGTATTACTGGGCTGTTGCTCGTTTGTTACTGTGGTATTTGAGGCAGTTCTTAGGTGGCTGCTAGGCTGCTGCAAGGATACTGCTTGGTGGTTGCTAGGGCACTGGTAAGCAGTTATGAAGGTATTCAAGGCGGTTGCATGGTATTATTTAAGGGTGCCTCACTGCTTCAGCTAAGTTGTGTCTAGACAGTTCCTATGTCATCCTAAGTGGATGCTAAGATGTTGCAAGGTGGGTACTGTAGTGTCTTAGGTAGTTGCTAAAATGTCATTCCAAGTGGTCGTTAAGGTGTCTCTCAGCAGTTCATGTGTTATCCCATGTGACTGCTAGATTGTTTTTATGTGGTGGCTATAAGATTGGAAGTGGTTGCTATGTTATTCCAGGTGGTTGCTAGGGTGTTCTCATTTAGTTGGGTATGGAATTTTTCTTGGTTGCTAAAGTACTGCAATGTGTATAGTAAAGAACGGGTAAAGGGTGATTGTGAGGGTATTGGCAGGTGATTACTTTGTATTTTTACTCTATATTTTCTCTATAAGACTGGCTCCACTTAAAAGTATGAGCCCTACAGATTGCCTACCAAGAGAAAGAGACCTGGTCTGACACTACCAACAGAAAAGGCCCTAAAGACTGACACTACCAAGAGAAGGAGCCCTAAAGACTGACACTACCAAGAGAAGGAGCCCTAAAGACTGACACTACCAAGAGAAGGAGCCCTAAAGACTGACACTACCAAGACATAAAGCCCTAGAACATCTTCAATGTCAATGATTTTTTATTACTACAGATTTAAACTACTGTTTTGCAGAATTAATAAATGTAATGCCACTATGTCAGTTATTGTGAACATGTTATGCATGAATGCAGCAGCACGGCTCGTCTTCAATCTCCCCAAGTTCAGCCACATCACTCCACTGCTGCGCTCCCTTCACTGGCTTCCTGTAGCTGCACGCATCAGATTTAAAACCCTGATTCCTACAAAGCCAAAAATGGACCAGCCCCTCCCTCCCTGATGGCAATGGTCAAAACTCAAACTGCATCTCGAGCCCTTCAAATTTCAAGTACAGCTCAGCTCGACTTGGCATCCTTCAAGACGCGTGGAAGACGAGCATCAAGACTTTTCTCTGTCCTGGAGCCCAGGTGGTGGTATGTATGGTACTGCACTTATTGAAAGGTCTTGTATTGCATTTATTCTGTTTCTTTTTCTCTGGGTATCAACACTGACTTTTGTTTCTAGCAGTATCTGAGCACAGGGGTAGTTTGTACTCTAATCTATTTGTAACTAGCAAATATACTTTTTCTAAGTCGACAATAAAGCACTTTTGTAAGTTGCTCTGGACAAGAGCGTCTGCTAAGTGCATTAAATGTAAATGTAAAAACAGTGTCTATGTGACTCTTTAACACTATATTTAGTCAAAGTCTAATTTCATTGCTCTGATTCCTGCTCGCCCGCGAGCTCTGACTCCACCCTAAACTCAGTCTGTCCTTATCACTGCAGTGAAAGTGAAAGTAAGCGGAGCCGCAGTGATGCTGCAGCTGGATAAAACTTCAGAAGAGCAGCTTTGGTAAGACATTCTCTCAGACTGTATCTGATTTCTGTCACAGTGGAACAGCCGCAGTTTAGAAATATATTAACATAGTAACTAATTTCAATCATGTTTTCAGCGAGTAATCAGGTAAACATGTTTTCTGTTCAAAATGCAGAGAAAAGCAGTGAGCTCTACTGCCCTCTCAAAGCTGCAGTACTACACTCTCACAGCCACACCGTCAGAACTGCAGTACCACACTCTCAGAGCCGCAGTACTGCACTCTCAGAGCCACACTCTCAGAGCCACACTCTCAGAGCCACACTCTCAGAGCCATACTGTGGAGAAGGGGGCATGGCCGGGTGTTGAATGCAGGACGGAGAAGCCGGTCTGGCTGAACCAGCGGGCTAAGTAGCTGATTATGTTCACCTGTGCCTTATTTCTGCCAGCCTACTTACAGCCTTCTCTTCCTTCAGTAGGTGGCAGAGCCCAGAGAGAGAAGGAGACCTATGAAGGTGTGAGAGCTGAGCTGAACTGAACCGAACCAGAAAGAAAGAAAAGAAAGGACTGAAAAGTCCCAGCGAGCGTCTTGTCTTACTTTGTGGGCTGAAAAGCTGAGTGTTTTGCGTTGTGTGTAAATAATAATAAAAGAAAGCTCTCCGTCTTCACACCTGCCCCCGGCATCTTTCCTCCACCCATCGTTAAAGCCGCACCCTCAGAGCTGTAAACTCAGAGCCGCACCCTCAGAGCTGTACCCTCAGAGCTGTAAACTCAGAGCCGCACCCTCAGAGCTGTAAACTCAGAGCTGTAAACTCAGAGCCACACCCTCAGAGCCACACCCTCAGAGCTGTAAACTCAGAGCCGCACCCTCAGAGCTGTAAACTCAGAGCCGCACCCTCAGAGCTGTAAACTCAGAGCCGCACCCTCAGAGCTGTAAACTCAGAGCTGTAAACTCAGAGCCACACCCTCAGAGCCACACCCTCAGAGCTGTAAACTCAGAGCTGTAAACTCAGAGCCGCACGCTCAGAGCCACACCCTCAGAGCTGTAAACTCAGAGCTGTAAACTCAGAGCCGCACGCTCAGAGCCACACCCTCAGAGCCACACCCTCAGAGCTGTAAACTCAGAGCCACACCCTCAGAGCTGTAAACTCAGAGCCACACCCTCAGAGCTGTAAACTCAGAGCCACACCCTCAGAGCTGTAAACTCAGAGCCGCACCCTCAGAGCTGTAAACTCAGAGCCGCACCCTCAGAGCTGTAAACTCAGAGCCGCACGCTCAGAGCTGTAAACTCAGAGCTGTAAACTCAGAGCCACACCCTCAGAGCCACACCCTCAGAGCTGTAAACTCAGAGCCACACCCTCAGAGCTGTAAACTCAGAGCCGCACCCTCAGAGCTGTAAACTCAGAGCCGCACGCTCAGAGCTGTAAACTCAGAGCTGTAAACTCAGAGCCACACGCTCAGAGCTGTAAACTCAGAGCCGCACGCTCAGAGCTGTAAACTCAGAGCCGCACGCTCAGAGCTGTAAACTCAGAGCTGTAAACTCAGAGCCACACCCTCAGAGCTGTAAACTCAGAGCCGCACGCTCAGAGCTATAAACTCAGAGCCGCACCCTCAGAGCTGTAAACTCAGAGCCGCACCCTCAGAGCTGTAAACTCAGAGCCGCACGCTCAGAGCTGTAAACTCAGAGCTGTAAACTCAGAGCCGCACGCTCAGAGCTGTAAACTCAGAGCCGCACGCTCAGAGCTGTAAACTCAGAGCTGTAAACTCAGAGCTGTAAACTCAGAGCCGCACGCTCAGAGCTGTAAACTCAGAGCCGCACGCTCAGAGCTGTAAACTCAGAGCTGTAAACTCAGAGCCACACCCTCAGAGCTGTAAACTCAGAGCCACACCCTCAGAGCTGTAAACTCAGAGCCGCACCCTCAGAGCTGTAAACTCAGAGCCACACCCTCAGAGCTGTAAACTCAGAGCCGCACCCTCAGAGCTGTAAACTCAGAGCCGCACCCTCAGAGCTGTAAACTCAGAGCCGCACGCTCAGAGCTGTAAACTCAGAGCCACACCCTCAGAGCCACACCCTCAGAGCTGTAAACTCAGAGCCGCACCCTCAGAGCTGTAAACTCAGAGCCGCACCCTCAGAGCTGTAAACTCAGAGCCGCACCCTCAGAGCTGTAAACTCAGAGCTGTAAACTCAGAGCCACACCCTCAGAGCCGCACCCTCAGAGCTGTAAACTCAGAGCTGTAAACTCAGAGCCACACCCTCAGAGCCACACCCTCAGAGCTGTAAACTCAGAGCTGTAAACTCAGAGCCGCACGCTCAGAGCCACACCCTCAGAGCCACACCCTCAGAGCTGTAAACTCAGAGCCACACCCTCAGAGCTGTAAACTCAGAGCCACACCCTCAGAGCTGTAAACTCAGAGCCACACCCTCAGAGCTGTAAACTCAGAGCCGCACCCTCAGAGCTGTAAACTCAGAGCCGCACGCTCAGAGCTGTAAACTCAGAGCTGTAAACTCAGAGCCACACCCTCAGAGCCACACCCTCAGAGCTGTAAACTCAGAGCCACACCCTCAGAGCTGTAAACTCAGAGCCGCACCCTCAGAGCTGTAAACTCAGAGCCGCACGCTCAGAGCTGTAAACTCAGAGCTGTAAACTCAGAGCCACACGCTCAGAGCTGTGAACTCAGAGCCGCACGCTCAGAGCTGTAAACTCAGAGCCGCACGCTCAGAGCTGTAAACTCAGAGCTGTAAACTCAGAGCCACACCCTCAGAGCTGTAAACTCAGAGCCGCACGCTCAGAGCTATAAACTCAGAGCCGCACGCTCAGAGCTGTAAACTCAGAGCTGTAAACTCAGAGCCGCACGCTCAGAGCTGAAACTCAGAGCTGTAAACTCAGAGCTGTAAACTCAGAGCTGTAAACTCAGAGCCGCACGCTCAGAGCTGTAAACTCAGAGCCGCACGCTCAGAGCTGTAAACTCAGAGCTGTAAACTCAGAGCCACACCCTCAGAGCTGTAAACTCAGAGCCACACCCTCAGAGCTGTAAACTCAGAGCCGCACCCTCAGAGCTGTAAACTCAGAGCCACACCCTCAGAGCCGCACCCTCAGAGCTGTAAACTCAGAGCCGCACCCTCAGAGCTGTAAACTCAGAGCCGCACGCTCAGAGCTGTAAACTCAGAGCTGTAAACTCAGAGCCACACCCTCAGAGCTGTAAACTCAGAGCCACACCCTCAGAGCTGTAAACTCAGAGCTGCACGCTCAGAGCTGTAAACTCAGAGCTGTAAACTCAGAGCTGTAAACTCAGAGCCGCACCCTCAGAGCTGTAAACTCAGAGCCGCACCCTCAGAGCTGTAAACTCAGAGCCGCACCCTCAGAGCTGTAAACTCAGAGCCGCACCCTCAGAGCTGTAAACTCAGAGCCACACCCTCAGAGCTGTAAACTCAGAGCCGCACGCTCAGAGCTGTAAACTCAGAGCCGCACCCTCAGAGCTGTAAACTCAGAGCCGCACCCTCAGAGCCGCACCGTCAGAGCTGTAAACTCAGAGCCACATGGCTTCATTCACAATAAAACAGCTTTAATATCAAGTTACTACATTCAGGACAACACTAAAGGCTTATTTGGCCTAAACATGCCCAGAGTTTATCACTCTAAGTAATAGGCAGCCAAATTCATCACATTGATTAATCGATAAGTGGAATTTAAGACATTATAAAATAGTCACGGTGACCAACGGTCAAGACACAATTATGATCTGTTTTGTTGTTTGTACTACCATTTTAAATCATATTGAGAAACGCCCACATTACAAAATCTAATACATTAAATATTATAATGTCTTATATACTACAGCGTATTGATCCAGAGTTCAGCTGCATTAACCAAGGCAATGACTTTATCAGTTATTTTAAGGTGCTGCATTAGAATGACTTCGTTGTTGGTGTTCATGTTGTGTTATTGACCCTGAGTGGATAGCTGCTGGTTTTCTGGACTGTGTGTGTGAAATGACCATTTTGTAAGAACATCTTTTCATTTATATTGCAAATCTTACCAATTTGGCTGCCTGTTATTATAACTACTACAGTAAAATTACTTTATGTAGTTTGCCAAACTGCACACATTATTTTTAGGCTGCTTGTATCATAAACATTTTGTAAAGTGTCTTCATTATGAGCTGTTTTATTGTAAATGAAGGACTCCTGCCTCTTGGCTCTGAATGCGCTGTTGTTCTTACCGTAAACGGTGTAAAAACTGCACAGTTGTATTTCTTGTGCAGATAGTTTTACTGTGTAATGAAGACCAGCTGGTTTAAGTGCATAGATTCTGCAGCAGAAATACTGTATTCCTTTAGAGAAATCTGTCTTGCTGTAAAACTGAAATGTTCTGAACTCTGAAGGTGCTCCTGCCTCCCAGTCCAGGCTGGATGAATGGGGGGAAATGCCTCCCTTTCCCTCACTCTGTTATTGTGGGTTGGGTTTGTTTGTAGAAAGAAATTTCCCTACAGTTGCTGCCAAAAGAGCTCAGTTCACCAGCTGTTCATGATAATAAAGTTTCTAATATAGAGAACGAGAGTAAAGTTTATGGTGCTTAAGAAAAGTTTTATTTTAAGTTTGTTTGTATTTGTATTCTGGCTAATTTGGCCTTGGACTCTTTGGTAAGTTGTAGTGTACTCACTGTTTGCTTGTGTCAGACTGATACTGTAGAACCCGATAACCAAAAAAATCCTCTTCACTCCCCGAGAACCTCTCTGGGTTTGTTACATCGATGTTGAACCCGTTTGATACCGACACAGCTGGAACACCAGAGAGAGATAATGAGCCAATAAGAGGCACTTAAAGAAGGTGAACTAAGTCCAGCAGAGTTTAGATTTACACAGACAGGTTTAAGAGCGATTTTAGAGAAAAGATATTTTTACCCCATGTAGTTGTGTAGAGCAGCAGAAGGAGAGATTTCTCCATCCCTCCATCTCTCCACCTCTCCATCTGTCTTCTGATTTGCTTCTTCTGTGTGCACCACATTCCCAACTTACCAAAGAGTCCAAGGCCAAATTAGCCAGAATACAAATACAAATAAACTTAAAATAAAACTTTTCTTAAGCACCATAAACTTTATTCTCGTTCTCTATATTAGAAACTTTATGATCATGAACAGCTGGTGAACTGAGCTCTTTTGGCAGCAACTGTAGGGAAGTTTTCATATCACATTGTACTGAACTGCATCACAGCTTATAGTATTATAGCAAACTGACTCTTAAAGTATCGTATCTTATATAATCGAATTGCAGAGTATCGTATTGTATTGAACCGAATCTCAGAGTACTGTATTGTATTTTAGCGCCGATGTAGAAGAAGTTGTGTAAAACTGCATGCAGAGCAAAATAGTATTTTGTTTTGAAAACCTTTGAATACTTTGAATTGAATATGGTATTATATTGAACAGAATTGTAGACTATTGTGGGGTATCAAATAGTTTCTAATTGAATCACAGCATGTCATTTTGTATTAAGCTGTATTGCAGATTATCTTGTTGTATCAAATTAAATCACAGGATATCATGTTGTCTGTAGCGTATCAAATTATCATTTTGTGTCAAACTACATCATTGTATTTTGATTATCATGTTAACTTTTGACTACAGCTTTAGATCAAACACTATGAAGCAAAACTTTGTCTCAAGTATTCAACTTTTATAATGTTAAAAATGGAAAGATCTGAACAAAAGACAGAGTTACGTTTTGTTGTACTGAAAACAGACACCACTGAACTGAATTCTGAATTTTGTAAATTGCATAATTGTGAATTGTGCCTTGTATGAAAAGAAACCACTAGAGTACTAAAGGCACAGCAATAAAGGCATCAGTGTGAAAATATCTTTCTGGCACTTTCCCAACGCAAACAATACATTTTGGCCCAAGACAAAAATGTGTTGGTGTCTCTGTTTAAAGGCAAAAATATCAGTGTTTCAGTGTATTGACAGGAAGATGATCTGATAACAGTGTGTTGTTGTTTTTACAGGATCATAGTCAGTGCTCCACTGAGACGAAGCACTAATGAAAAGGCATCAGGAGCAATTTACAGCTGCACACTCAATACAGCAACCTGCACTCTACTGTACCAGCAAGGTACTGATACACAAACAGAGCTCTACTGTACCAGCAAGGCACTGATACACAAACAGAGCTCTACTGTACCAGCAAGGCACTGATACACAAACACAAACAGAGCTCTACTGTACCAGCAAGGCACTGATACACAATCGGAGCTCTACTGTACCAGCAAGGCACTGATACACAAACACAAACAGAGCTCTACTGTACCAGCAAGGCACTGATACACAAACACAAACAGAGCTCTACTGTACCAGCAAGGTACTGATACACAAACACAAACAGAGCTCTACTGTACCAGCAAGGCACTGATACACAAACACAAACAGAGCTCTACTGTACCAGCAAGGTACTGATACACAAACACAAACAGAGCTCTACTGTACCAGCAAGGCACTGATACACAAACACAAACAGAGCTCTACTGTACCAGCAAGGTACTGATACACAAACACAAACAGAGCTCTACTGTACCAGCAAGGTACTGATACACAAACACAATCAGAGCTCTACTGTACCAGCAAGGTACTGATACACAAACACAAACAGAGCTCTACTGTACCAGCAAGGCACTGATACACAAACACAAACAGAGCTCTACTGTACCAGCAAGGTACTGATACACAAACAGAGCTCTACTGTACCAGCAAGGCACTGATACACAAACACAAACAGAGCTCTACTGTACCAGCAAGGTACTGATACACAAACAGAGCTCTACTGTACCAGCAAGGCACTGATACACAAACACAAACAGAGCTCTACTGTACCAGCAAGGTACTGATACACAAACAGAGCTCTACTGTACCAGCAAGGCACTGATACACAAACACAAACAGAGCTCTACTGTACCAGCAAGGTACTGATACACAATCAGAGCTCTACTGTACCAGCAAGGTACTGATACACAATCAGAGCTCTACTGTACCAGCAAGGCACTGATACACAAACACAAACAGAGCTCTACTGTACCAGCAAGGCACTGATACACAAACACAAACAGAGCTCTACTGTACCAGCAAGGTACTGATACACAAACACAGACAGAGCTCTACTGTACCAGCAAGGTACTGATACATAATCAGAGCTCTACTGTACCAGCAAGGCACTGATACACAAACACAAACAGAGCTCTACTGTACCAGCAAGGTACTGATACACAAACAGAGCTCTACTGTACCAGCAAGGTACTGATACATAATCAGAGCTCTACTGTACCAGCAAGGCACTGATACACAAACAGAGCTCTACTGTACCAGCAAGGCACTGATACACAAACACAAACAGAGCTCTACTGTACCAGCAAGGCACTGATACACAAACAGAGCTCTACTGTACCAGCAAGGTACTGATACACAAACAGAGCTCTACTGTACCAGCAAGGCACTGATACACAAACACAAACAGAGCTCTACTGTACCAGCAAGGCACTGATACACAAACACAGACAGAGCTCTACTGTACCAGCAAGGTACTGATACACAAACAGAGCTCTACTGTACCAGCAAGGCACTGATACACAAACACAGACAGAGCTCTACTGTACCAGCAAGGTACCGATACACAAACAGAGCTCTACTGTACCAGCAAGGTACTGATACACAATCAGAGCTCTACTGTACCAGCAAGGCACTGATACACAAACACAGACAGAGCTCTACTGTACCAGCAAGGCACTGATACACAATCAGAGCTCTACTGTACCAGCAAGGCACTGATACACAAACACAAACAGAGCTCTACTGTACCAGCAAGGCACTGATACACAAACAGAGCTCTACTGTACCAGCAAGGCACTGATACACAAACACAGACAGAGCTCTACTGTACCAGCAAGGCACTGATACACAAACAGAGCTCTACTGTACCAGCAAGGTACTGATACACAAACAGAGCTCTACTGTACCAGCAAGGCACTGATACACAAACAGAGCTCTACTGTACCAGCAAGGCACTGATACACAAACACAAACAGAGCTCTACTGTACCAGCAAGGTACTGATACACAAACACAAACAGAGCTCTACTGTACCAGCAAGGCACTGATACACAAACAGAGCTCTACTGTACCAGCAAGGTACTGATACACAAACAGAGCTCTACTGTACCAGCAAGGCACTGATACACAAACACAGACAGAGCTCTACTGTACCAGCAAGGCACTGATACACAAACACAAACAGAGCTCTACTGTACCAGCAAGGTACTGATACACAAACAGAGCTCTACTGTACCAGCAAGGCACTGATACACAAACAGAGCTCTACTGTACCAGCAAGGCACTGATACACAAACACAAACAGAGCTCTACTGTACCAGCAAGGCACTGATACACAAACACAGAGCTCTACTGTACCAGCAAGGTACTGATACACAAACAGAGCTCTACTGTACCAGCAAGGTACTGATACACAAACAGAGCTCTACTGTACCAGCAAGGCACTGATACACAAACAGAGCTCTACTGTACCAGCAAGGTACTGATACACAAACACAATCAGAGCTCTACTGTACCAGCAAGGTACTGATACACAAACACAATCAGAGCTCTACTGTACCAGCAAGGTACTGATACACAAACAGAGCTCTACTGTACCAGCAAGGTACTGATACACAAACAGAGCTCTACTGTACCAGCAAGGTACTGATACACAAACAGAGCTCTACTGTACCAGCAAGGCACTGATACACAAACAGAGAACATGTTCATCTTAATTTTGAGCTAAAGTGAGACACCAGGACTTGTCTGTTAGGATTTGTGTATGCAGTATCTCATTGCACATGATATAAACCCAGCTAATCGGATGGTCCTCCACCCTCTTCCTGTAGGAAATAGTTTCATGTTGTGTATAAAATGTTTGGATGTCCAGAGATTCGCATATAAACCCAGTTTACCAGATATTGCTTTGACTCAGATATCACTTTTTTGTGAAGTACAGGAAAGGAGGGTCATTTCCTTGAGCTGAAACACACTACAGCACATGTTTGTACTCTTCCCACTCAGTTTCACCACAAGTTCACAATTTCACACTTCAGTGCTGGAGAATAAAAGTCATGGATATAGTTTAAAGAGATGGATGGATCCATATCTTTGGTATATCTCTTCCCCCCAAAGCTAATCAATAATAAACTGTCAACTGTGATGGTTTAGTAGAGAAGCAGAGAGGAAATGCTGTTTAACAACGTTAAAGATTGACCAGTTTAGGTTCCCCTGTGAGGAGTTAGGTGATGGAAGCTGCCACAGAGCGAAATCCACAAGTAAATCTGCTGTAAGACACTGTTCTGTACTGTGTACTATGAATGGTGTCAATACAGGTGCTTATAAAGTGTGTCAGCATGTCCTGGAAGACATCACTGATTAACTGCTATAAGACGGAAAGAGCATTTACCAATAAATGTGACAACACCAGTGTCCCTGGGAGAGCCACTGAGGGTCAGAGGGGGGGGATAAGGGGGGCAGATAGTTAGTTCAGAACCAACATTCCCAGATTACCACAGGACTCTCTGTCCCAGATCTGCGCCTTATTCTAACAGGAGAACTAATTAACCAAAGGCTCAACTAAACAGGTAAGTTTTTAGCCTAGACTTAAAGATGGAGGCTGTGTCTGAGTCCCAAACACAGACTGGTAGGCTATTCCAAAGCTGGGGGGCGTGGTATGAAAAGGCTCCTCCCCCCGACGTAACTTTATTTATTCTGGGTACTAATAATGAGCAGCACCTTGTGATCTAAGTGGGCGTGTCGGTTGATAATAGGAAATAAGGTCACTGAGGTACTGAGGATCAAGGCCATTCAGAGCTTCATACGTCAGTAGAAGAATTTTGTACTCAATGCGGAATTTAACTGGCAACCAATGTAAGGTACACAAAATTGGGCTAATGTGGTCGAATTTCCTGGTTTTGGTGAGAACTCTGGCTGCAGCGTTCTGGACTAACTGAAGCTTGTTAAGGTTTTGGCTGGAACAACCAGAAAGCAGAGCGTTACAGTAATCTAACCTGGACGTGATGAAGGCGTGGACTAACGTTTCTGCGTCCTGTAGCGACAGTGCATTTCTTAATTTAGCGATGTTACGCAGGTGGAGGAAAGCTATTCTGGTAATATTGGTAATATGCTCATCGAAGGCCAGACTGGGATCAATCGTGACACCAAGGCTTTTTACAGATGTGCCTGGTGCAATTGAGAAACTATCGAGATTAAGAGTAAACGTAGGCAGATTATCCCTAACAGCTTTTGGACCAAGAAGAAGGACTTCGGTTTTGTCCGAGTTTAGTAAGAGGAAGTCACTTGACATCCAGTCTTTAATGTCTTTTACACAGTCTTCTATCTTATTAAGTTCAATTTTGTCATCTGGTTTAGCTGAAATATATAATTGTGTATCATTGGCATAGCAGTGGAAACTGATGCCATGTTTTCTAATGATGGTACCTAGTGGTAGCATATATAAGGTTAATAACATGGGTCCTAAGACAGAGCCCTGTGGAACACCATACTTTACTCTTGTGAGAGCTGATGGTTCACCATTTACATTAACAAACTCAAAGCAATCACTAAGGCTGTGTTCCCAATTCATTGCTGGAATAATGCTACCCTTCCGGGCAAAATGAAAGTACGTCTCAAGCATATTCATGAAATATTTACATGAACAGTAAGGGCTGAAACAAACTTTAACTTTATATTCTGGGGCCAGTGATGCTCATCATGCGAAAGAAATATTGAAACACAATGTATCAAATTGTATTAAATTTGCCTTTCTTAAAAACTGCAAAATATTTGGGTAATATTTGAATTAAAAAACTGTGAACCCAAAGAGAGATTTTGCCATGACATGGTAACAGTCTGTCCATCTACTGGAAATCAGTGTTAGCTTATTTAGCTGTAGCCTTTGGGAAATCACCTAAAATCTTACTTACATAACAATTAAATCAGTCTGATCAGCTTTATTGATCCACAGACTCTGATGATGCCCGGTTCTTTGGGATGTCCATGGCAGTGAGGTCCACTCCTTCACCCGGCCTGACTGTAAGTGTGGAACTAAATGATTTAGAACTTTCTAAATCTTAGAACGTTCTTATAATGTAGGAACAGATTCATCTTTGGGTTCTTCAGCTCCCATCTGGATTCACTGCAGTTTCACTCTGGAACTGAATTCTGCTTCCTGTTTGCTGATGGACATCCTGTTTTTACCGTCTTTGTCTGGAAAACTGAAGGGAAACTGAAAATACTTCACACTTCAGGAAAACCTTACTGACTCTAATCTCTACCAGTTCTGTGGAAATACTAAATATAGCTGTAGCGCCCCCACCAGGTACTTAACTGAACAACAAGGGCCTAAAGGTGTTTAACATTTAACCCTGAACTAGTAGCATGGGAGGTACAGGGTGGGTCCTACAAATATGGAAATGCTTATTTGCTAGGGTGAATCTCCCTGGAGGTTCAGAAATGTAGCCAGTCAATTAGAGCTACCCAAATCTCCCATACAGATACTTCACTATTATTCTACTTCCTCTCAGCACCCAATCACACTCAAAGCTTCCAAAATGGGATACGGAATACACTGCACACTGCAAAACTCATTATAGTGATCAGAGCAATTCTGTTTAACCCCTACACCCTACACGAGCACCACCTCCTAATACAGGTGTTGGATATGCAATTATAACCGTCCATGAACTGCATAAATACATGAAAATTTGCTGGGACAGTAAAACCACAATCTATATATGTGTGAAACCTGCACTACTGATCTGGGGAGACACTCTGATAGTTATAGTTACAGTTATATTAACTGTATACAGTTTCTGCTGTTCATTTGGACCTTTAATGTAACCTGTAACCTGTTTGGACCCTGTGGTTGTGATTTAGAGCTGCAGTCCCAGTCTCACTCATGACTGTGATGGAAACTCGTACCTGAACGGCATCTGCTACCACTTCAACAGTCAACTGGACCCCATCGCTAACGACACGGTCGCTTTCCAAGGTACCAACAGTTCTTTCAATGTATTATAGCACATATTCTGTACATTTTTCTAAATATCTTACCTGATATTTCTGTTTGGGTTTATGTACTAAAAAGAGCTATAATTCATTCAACATGATCACTTTCAAAACGCTCTTTATCTCTCAGAATAAAACAGGCTGTTTTGTTACAGGGTCTTTAGCCCAGCTTCCTTACTCTGAATAACTAAAACAGCCTTGGCCAAATCCAGTGTATCTTCAAGTCTTTTTAGGTGCTGCTCAAAGTAGTGCTGGTGATGAACTATAAAACTGGCCCACCCACTAGGACTCTGTAAAAGCAAATGCATGGCTTGCATGTATTTTTGCATGTGAGTTCTGCGTGAGTCGATTTTAGTGTATAATGGCCAAACGCCTGGTGGGAAAATATATGCACAAATTGTGAAAATGTTAAAAGCATACTTTTCCCCAAAGTGTGTTGCAATTGTGGAGCACTGTCATTTCCAGAAATGCAACCAGCATAAGGGTGAAAATATTGCTCAATATGTGGCTGTTTTAAAGTTGGCCAAGTTCTGTCAATTTGGCAGTTATTTACAAGATGCGCTTATGGATAGATCGACGTGAGGCCTAAGTAATGAAGCAATGCAAAAAATGTTATTAACAGACAATGCAGGGATGAGTGAAGTGCAATGGGCTATTCTTCATCATCACTGATTTTTATAAGGCTAAATGTTGAAAGACCAATATATATATATATATAGTACTGCAAAGTACTGCAGGACCAGAAAATCTGGAATAATCACCTGTGTGTAATTTTTCTGCAGAGTGCACAAAAGGTGTAGTGAACTTGGTCTTCCTGTTCGACGGCTCTTCCAGCATGAAAACCAGTGACTTTAACAAGAATAAAGAGTTCATCTGGAATATTATAACTCAACTTAAGGACTCAACCATTCAGGTAAACACAGTGTGAAGTATCATTTTCAATTTTTGCTTGATTATCACCGTGACTTCTTTTCATCAGTAACCTGCTGGTAGAAATGTTGATATACGCTTCCACACAAAAAATCAAAAAGTCATTTAGTGCACTCAAAGTCAATACACTCAGTGAGGTTAATACACTCAGTGAAGTTAATACGCTCAGTGAGGTTAATACACTCAGTGAAGTTAATACACTCAGTGAGGTTAATATACTCAGTGAAGTTAATACACTCAGTGAGGTTAATACACTCAGTGAAGTTAATACACTCAGTGAAGTTAATACACTCAGTGAGGTTAATACACTCAGTGAGGTTAATACGCTCAGTGAGGTTAATACGCTCAGTGAAGTTAATACACTCAGTGAGGTTAATACGCTCAGTGAGGTTAATACGCTCAGTGAGGTTAATATACTCAGTGAAGTTAATACACTCAGTGAAGTCAATACACTCAGTGAGGTTAATACACTCAGTGAGGTTAATATACTCAGTGAAGTTAATACACTCAGTGAGGTTAATACACTCAGTGAAGTTAATACACTCAGTGAGGTTAATACGCTCAGTGAGGTTAATACGCTCAGTGAGGTTAATATACTCAGTGAAGTTAATACACTCAGTGAAGTCAATACACTCAGTGAGGTTAATACACTCAGTGCAGTAATTGTGGTCAATGCAGTCAATGCATTTAATGTCTTTTTCTGTCTGTGTTTAGTTTGCTGCTGTCCAGTTTTCTGGAGTTCCCCGGATCGTTTTTGACTTTAATGATTACAAAAATGGCACAGCTAAGAAAAAGCTTGATGAAGAGGAGCATATGAAGGATCTCACAAACACCCACCAGGCTATTGACTATGTACTGTGAGTAATCTGTGAGTTTCCGCTAAAGGAGAGAAAGTAGGCTGAGATCAATCTTCTGTTTTGATGATTCATCTTCTTAATGCCGGTGCTTCTAAAAAAGTGTTAATTACAGAGATTTGTGCTGTATAAAGAGGTGTGAAATTCAACATATCACTCGCTTCATTATTGGTGCTGTATTAGTTCAGCACTAGATTTCAGATCATAAGTGGAGAGTCAGTCTAAACATTGGTCCTACTGAACTCAGTCCCCAGTGATGCCACAGCCATCAGTGTCCTGGAGTTTAAGAGATCATTCTCAGTCTTCTTCACAGAACGCTTCTAGTCCTGCAGTATTCTTGGGCTGTCTTGCATACATAGAATACCCACAGATTGTCAGTGATGTTCAGGTCAGGGGGCTGTGAGGGCCATTCCAAAAGCTTCAGCTTGCATGTCTTGAAGTAGATGGCTGAAAGTGGATTTTGAGGTGTGTTTTTGGATCATTGTCCTGTTGTAGAAGTCAGCCTCTTTTCAGCTCCAGTTTCTTGACTGACTGCTTAACATTTACTTCCACAATTTGCTGATATTCAGCAAATTCTTCCATCTACCTGTGCAGTGTTTCCTAAACCACTGGCTGCCTCACAACCCCAAAACATACCACATCCATTCATGCTGAACAGTAAACACGGTGTTCCTTTCATCAAATGCTCCTTTTTGTCTTAACATAACTGTGGGAACTGTGGCCATATGGTTTTATTGTTACTTCATCAGTCCACAGCACACTTTTCCAAAATGCCTCTGGCTGATCTGAATGTTGATTTGCAGACTTCTGACATTGACTTATGTGATGAGGTCACAGATAGGGTTTCCTTCTGATGACTCTTTCATGCAGATCATGTTTGTTTTGTTGAGTAGAGTGGTCCTTCCTGCAAAAGATCCTGCAGATCCTTTGCTTTGCCTTTCTGTCCAGCTTGCAAATAGTTCCAATCTGCCCTTCACTGCCATTTCTGAATGACATTTCCAGCAGTGGAAATTGTGAGCTGAACACTCTTTGATGTGTTTTTACAACCTTCTACTGCTTTGCAGGCATCAGTTAGCTTCATTTTCAGATTCCCAGCCAGCTGCTTAGAAGAGCTCATGGCTGTTGAATGTTAGCAGAAGGTTTAAAGAGTCAGAGAGTGAATGATGCTCTGGAATTCTCATCAGGTGACAATTCCTAATGACCTGTAAAACCAGTCCTAACAAGTAAATGAGTTAATTAGGTTTAATTTAATTAACAACCGCACATCACAATTACTGTTTTATTTTGTTCTATTTTTTGTCAATCAAATATAAAGTAACTGTGTATTAACTTTTGTATGAACATTATATTTTTTAATAGTTTGATGCAGAGGCTGTGTTTACTTCTCTTCACTTCAGAAATCAACAAAATATGTAATTTGGTCAGAGGGGGCTGTAACTGTTACTGTTAAATGAATATAATTTTTTTATACCAGTCAGAATTAGGGTGGAGTTTTCTGTCATACCTGAAAAGAGCCATGCTATGAACAAGATGATGGCTGAATGTAACAGTAAGAGCACAAATGAAAATCCCTCCAGTTTGATTTAGAAAGATCAGTGTTTAACAACTCACACCTGTGTTTCATTTAGACTAATGTGTCACAATAACTGGATCCTGAAGTGAGAATGTAACTGTATTTTTATGTAAATTGATTTTTATTAAAACAGCACTGTTTGTTTTCCAGAGTAAACCTCTTTAATAATGTGTTCTCTGGTGCGGATCCTGATGCTACAAAAGCCCTGGTCATTATTACAGATAGAACTCCTACTGATTTTAACACTAAAGATGTTATAAAGAGGTGTGAAGACCAACATATCACTCGCTTTGTTATTGGGGTGAGTCCATTAAAGAAACAATCACACAATGCCTTCTAATTTACTGTCATGTACTGAAACACATTTTTTGTACTTTTTTCCATTTTCTCCCAAGATTTGTTTATTGGGTTTAACAAAGACATACAGTTAAACATCAGATATAATAATGAACAAAGAATAAATATGTAAATAAATAAATGTGTCTATATAAAAAAGAGCATTACAAATTGAAAAATTACAAAAAAACAACAAAAAAAAATGAATAAAATAAAAAAAAACAGACACAAAAAACACAACAAAGTGAACAATGTCACATCACCCCACCAGTTCCCCAGAAAGCATTTTGCAACATTTCCCAACTCAGACAAACTCATATCAGAGCATGTGGAAAATTGATCTTTTTACCATTTGAAAAAATGGTCCCCAGACACTAATAAAATATGTTGGATAAACAATTTTTTTCCAAACGCAGAAAACTGATGATGTCCTTAATCCAGCATGTGTGGGTAAGAGGGGTAACTGATTTCCAAATTCATCAGGATCAAACATTGAGCTAGAAGTGTTACAAAAGCTCAGATCTTTTTAGAGACATATGTATGAAACTGGCTCGAGACAAATGGCATCTGTCATACTGGAGACATACCACCACATGTTTTAGATAGTCTGTCTTTAGTAAAATAGATGTGATGTACAAGTTTACACTGAACATAAGAGTGCCTTGGTCAGACAGAAGACTTGCGTATACATGTCAGAATCATCTCCCAGAGATTGACTGATATCTCCTCCCCTGATTCTCCTCCCATAGGACCTTTACAGAGTTTAACCCTTTGAGGTCTGAAGTCTTTCTCTGGATGTGTTAATATCTTCTCTCCTCTAAAGGCTCTTCATATAACATGATCCTCATATGTTTCATATCTAAATGCTCCGTTATCTTCATCACTACTTTCCAAACCCGCTGCAGCAGCTTCAGCAGCTGTAAACTCTCTGCACGCCGTTTCACATGAGTCTCCGATGTGGACTGAATGAAGAATGAAGGGTGTCCGGCGTGATGGTCAGTGCTTAGTGATTTCCTGAGTGTCCATTGGTCAGTTTCACACAGAATGTAGACAGACACACGAATCCACCAGTTCCACATAGTGAGAGGCAGATGACTGTGGTCGTTACACTGGCTACCTGTTAAATTTGGTGTACAGTATAAGATCCTTCTCTTAATGTATAAATCAATAAATGGCCTCGCAGTATCTTAGTGAATTGATTCAGTCGTATGAACCCACACAAACGCTCTGCTCACAAAATAACGTCCTGCTGACGGTTCCTAGAATTAGAAAAACCACAGCAGATGATCTAGCATTTTCCTACGTAGCCCCAAAATTGTGGAATCATCTCCCGACCTCTGTTCAGGACTCAGACACACTCTCTACATTTAAAACTAGACTCAAAACCTATAAAACTTTGCACGAGCATTCTGCTAATATCAGTTGTTGCACTATTAACTCACTAATATCTCTCCATAAACGGACCTGTTCTGTTAATCAATCTCTCTCTCTCTAAAATCAATCTCTCTCTTTCTCTCTCTCTCTCTCCCCCTTTATTTGAGCCCCTGAGCGATGCAGGAAGGCTGTTCTAGTAATATTAGTTAAATGTGCGTCGAAGGACAGATCAGGGTCTATAATGACACCAAGGTTTTTTACAGATGAACCTGATGCAGCTGGGAAACTATTAAGTTTAAGTTTTAAATTAGACAGTTTGTTTCTAGCCGCTTTTGCACCAAGAAGCAGAACCTCTGTTTTATCACTATAGTGGTGATAAAAGTAGTTTTCCTTTCATCACTCTCATGTTTAAGCCCTAATGTAAATTAGTAAAAATTCTAACTCCTCTGATTGGTTCTAATACAATTGGTGCTAATGGAAGACAGCATGTTCTCCAGCATGTTTCTGAAAGAGTGACAAAGAGGGTCTATTAAAGTCTGACTACCTTATCTATCTTCTAAGGCTCCAGTTTTGTGGCCCAAAGTCCAATGATATTGTGTTAATGGTAGTTTGAAAAGATGCAGTGGAGCTTCACATGTCATGAAGGAAACTCTTGTTAGCCTTCAACCCTCCCAGCTTGGTAGCATTGTGTGATAAAGGAAGGCCTAGCTTGTGGGTGGGAATTGGACATGACTAAATTTGGGAAATATTTGCTAAAAAGGGTATTGAACAGGTATGTTTTTGTCAACCATGGTAAAAACAATGTAGATGTACCTTTAAAAGTACAATAATAGTTTTGATTATGTACCTTAGTTTGCAATGTACACTACACTCTCTTTCCAAGACGAAGGGTGCACATTTGTACCTTTTAATGGATGTAATGTTTTAAAGCAGAAACGTAAATTCAGGTCTGGAGACGAGACAGCAGTGGTGAACTGTGACTATTACAGCTTTTCCTGTTGTACTGTGTTATCGGTTTGTAGAGTTGGAGCTGCAATTCTCACAGCATTCATTTACTAAAAAATGTTAAAAAGTAAACAAAAAGCAAATTAACTCATGAATTAAGTAAAACTATCAAAATGAAATACAATAACTAAAAAAAAGAAAAAAAGGAAGTTCAGCATTACATCCATGTTTGTGACTCATTTACTCAAGACTGACTGACTTAATTAAAGAACTAAAGAAAGGAATAGACACTCATCCATCTACCCACCATCACAGTGCAGTAAATGGTTTTGTCTTTGACAGGTGGGGAATGTAGACGTACGAAAGCTCAGACATTTTTCTTCAGAGCCCAAAGAAAATAACACATTCCAGATTGAAGACTACAGTGGACTGGGAGGACTTTTGGATAAGCTGCAAAATAAGATCTACAACATTGAAGGTATCAGGAAAAGCATAAGTAGTGTTTATAGTTCACATGAAGAAGCGCTGTAGTGTGAATATGAGTTAGAATTATTTTGCTTATCTGACATATCTTTGGTATGACTGTGTCTAAGATATGTTTTTGTCTTTTTTGTTTTTCTGCTTTTAATGTGCTTCAAAATGTTTTGTAAAAACAGCTGAAGTGTCCTAATAAATCCTGCATTTCCTTGTTCAGGAAATCAGAGCGGTGGACACAGGGAACGGACAAAGGAGTTGTCTCAAAGTGGATTCAGCGCTGTCTATGATAAAGTATAACCAAACATATTCCAACCTCAGAGCCTCAAAATAACTATCACTAAATCCACTGATCTATTATAGTAGAATCTGTTTCTTATAGCATAATGTCAAAAACTCTTTCTGGTGTTCAGTAGTTTCAGGTACTATTAAGACAGGATCCATTTAAAGTAATGTAACTAATCCCATAATATCTCTATTGTTTTAGTTCCCTAATCATGTCAAACTTAATTAATTGTGTGCTCCTGGTGTCTTTAGAGTATCTTCTACCTACCACAGAACTGTGGAAATGACCCTGGGTTATATCAGTATTGTGTAAATTGCCATGTTGGTAAATATTCTGTAATATCCTGAGAGAAAGAATGTTTTGGTTGTTTTCTTAAGCATGGAGGCCCTTAATGAAGCATGTACTTGTATCCAATTTGGACCACTCAGTATGAGCCTTAAGTGTATGATAACAAACATTAAAATCTGTAAAATGACAAAAAAAAAATTACAGCATGTTTTCTGTCTGTAATTCCGACCTCTCATGGATGCCTGCATCACCAGAGCATCGGATATCTCACCAATAAAGCACTAATAATCTCTTTAAGAAAGTGTCATATAATATGGTTATTTTGAACAATGTGGAGAGGCAAAAATGTGTAATTATCAGCCATGCAGGACCTTTACAGCAAGAGATGTCTGAGGAAGGCCCTCTGCATCTCCTCCGACCCCACACACCCCAGCCATCCGCTGTTCCAGCCTCTGCCATCTGGAAGGAGGTACAGGAACATCAGAGCCAGAACCACCAGACTCAGAAACAGCTTTTTCCCCCGTGCTGTTAAACTGGTGTCACCAGCTACACTACCCTCAACCTGAACTCATACAGACTGACCTCTGTTCACACTACTTCACACCAACCTCAACCTGATTAACGGACTGACCTCTGTCCTCCCCCTACTATCCCTCAGATCGCCATCAGCTCAGAGACTGTATGCACCATGCACTTTAACCCATAGTTTGTTGCTCCCTGCCCTCTACATACCCTATTGCACCTACTGTTATATTAACAGTATTAAAGTACCAGCACACCTACTGCAGTGTATATACTTGTATTTATTTTCTGTATTTATTGTTCTATGTCCCTGCACTATGTCCTGTCCTGCACTATGTTGTCTGTAATTGCACTGGAGATCTAGCCTAAAAGTGTTTCGTTGTACTGTACAACCCTGTTTCAGTATAATGACAATAAAGTTGAATTGAATTGAACTGAATTGAATTTATTCTGAAAAAACTCTCAAATAAACTTCAAGGTTCATTGTAATTACAGACCATTTAAAATGGTAATATGAAAGCCTTGTATGCTGGAAATTAGGGTTCACATCCCTGCTCAGACAGTAAAGCTATGTTAGACTGCATTACTACTAACACCAAGTTTGGTTTCTTCTGAATGTCCCAGCCTCCCCGTATGTCTGTGCATGTGCCAACTTCATCATCCATCATTCTTCAGCAAAATATTTTAATAACTTGATTTACTCCAAAATTGCTTTAACATAATTTTTCTGCAGTAATCAATAAAAAAAATCATACATCACACTAGCAATGTGTATCTGCATTTATGTAAAATATCAGTACAATGCAGCATGTACTTATATCCAATTTAAAAACAAAAAACAAAACAAAAACTTTTAAATGTAGTGTTAGTGTCTGCTGCTACTATTTTCCATGCTAGATACACCTCTGTTTTGTTCTGGACTGCAGGATGTTCTGGTGTTGGGAGCGGTTGGATCGAATGAATGGCGTGGAATGCTTTATGAAGTTGGATCCACAGAGATAGAAATCAAAGACCCAAAGCTGAACAACAACTCCTACATGGGTACATTATACATTGTACATTATGTATTTGCCTTTGATTAGCTGTGTAGTGTATGTATTTTCTTTGTGTGGTAGAACTGGTTCTGAACCCAATCCTCAGGCCCCCAAAACAGTCCACATTTTTCCTTCAACCTTATTTTTTGCAGGTTGGGTTGGAGCAAAAATGTGGAAGGAGGGTTTAGGACTAGTTTGGGAACCACTGTGGTAGACCATTCCCTACCACTTCTGTGATTTTGTTGTTTTTTTTTTTATAATATTAGGTGCTTTGCAATTGTTGTAACATTTTATGTAGAGATATGTGGTTAATAATACTTGCTAACATTGCTGGTCTGTTTAGGTTACTCCACAGCAGTTGGACAGAAAGGTGAAGTCTCTCTTTTTCTACTATCTGTTTCACACCACCTCCATTGCCTTCACCATGATGTCAGACTGTTAAAGGATAACAATATCTCAGGGTACCTCCCACTTCAGCTTTAGCACCAGAGTATTAGGTACCTTAAACAATGTCCTTCTCAAGGTGCCACTGAAGTCATGTCTTTGTGGGACCTTTGACACTGGTTTTATGCAGGCTGTTATGCTGGTGTGCAATACTGGGTTATACTCCTGTAAGCTGCCCATTCACCAACATGGGCATCCCTGAAGAATCTACTACACTCAGTGCTTGTGGCCCAGAGGTCCCTGTGTTGTTGTTTCCCATCTATGTAGCTCCACAGTGCTAGTAGTGTAGGTCTTGATGACAAACAGGCATTTTCTGAGGCAGTTGTCAAGAGCAGCCTTTATGCTAGACAATGAGATAAACAAGGAGTAACCTAGAAGTACAGATTTATGTCAGTTGTGTTGATGAGCTCATGCAAGAGTCATGTAGTCTAATGTACACAGAACTACAGCTAAATCTTACCAATAATCTAAGACAATGGTAGTTGGTAACAGTTCCAATTATATGTGGCCCTTTTTTCTGTCCATAGATGATACTGGAGAAGGAACTGGAGGTGGCTGACTGTGTTCAGGGCCGGTTTGCAGCAACTGTAACATCTGTAGCAGATCTGAATGGAGATAAGCTGCAGGATGTAGCTGTTGGAGCACCACTGGAGGACGGTGGCAGAGGAGCTGTTTACATCTACCTTGGGAACCGCATCCATGGTATACGTCCACAGTACAGCCAGGTACATCCCAAAACCCCAACACACATGGCACAACAAACCTTCCCCACTGTACATCAAGGTACTTTCTTCCTGTATTTGTCCATCTTCACAAGTAGTGTTAACTTGATTGCATTAAATGTAAGGGCACTTATATCACTTATATCTTATATATATATATAAGCCTATACCTCTATGTTTTACCATATAATAAGATTAAAGTCTAAAATTTAATTGTCGTGTTCTGTGCATCGATATAGAATCTTTAAGGAAAAAAACATGAAGCATTTAAGAATCAATAAATTTTCATATACCTAATAAATAATACACCTATAGAAGAAAAAGAAAAGCCAATAATCTTAAGTTTGTGCAAATAAATTAACGGATATTGTGATTTAAAGCTGCAGAAAGGTCAAGAAGATTCAGGACCTGTGACCTTTTGTCAAGTCTATTAGTGAAGCTTCTTGATAAAAATTTGATGAGGGTAGTTTCTGAAGAGTGTACCAGTTTTAAGCCAGACTGTTCCTGGGGCTGCTTCTGGCTGACAAAGAAATAACTAAATATAGACAGCACATTCAAAGCTTTTAGAGAGATATAGGTTGGTACCTGCTAAAGGAAGTATGTAGTGTGGACTTTTTCAGAATGGGTACAACTTTGGTTTCCTTGAAGACAAATCAGCATGTGACATGAATGTTATGGAGCTGTTTATGATGTTTGTGATAATGTGGAATGGGTCATAGAGAAGGAGCATTGGGATTATTATAACAGCTGTTCCCAATCCTGGTCTTGGAGTGGCATTATTCTACATTCCCTGTACTGTTCTCCATTTAGACACCCACTTCAACTCATGGAGGGCTTGGTATGTAGTCCTTTCATTACATCAGGTGGGCTGGAAGCAAGGGAACTCTAAAAGGTGTGGTGCGGTGGTGCTGCAGGACCAGGACTGAGATATTGACCTCTAATAATACCACTACCTATATGCTGGGCCCCATCCCAATGCTCCAGACTCTCAACACTCATGACTTATTCCCCATCATACAGCTCCATAACGTCATGTAATATATTGGCTTTTCCCCAAAGATGTTGACAAAATCCTCACAGTTAAGGGAGGAGGGAGGAGAAAATGGCTTTTGCGTGAGTCAGTTTGTATAAGTCAAATGCTTCCAGTTTTTCTTTTGTAGAAAGACAACTTTGCAGCAGTTACCTCAGAGGAGAATCCAGAACATACAGAATAATATATAGTGTTCAGTGCTGGTGTAGGTCAAAGAACAATTGTTGAGGGTCTGAATGATGATAGTAGAATGAGGGGGGAGAATTGTGAAGCACTTTTTCTTGGCCAAGATAGAAGCAGATCCGTGCCACCACTCCTGCTGATTCAAAAAGGAGATTGAGAGAATAAAAGGCAGCTGGTGTTAATTCTCTGGAGTGATCCAGGTCATCTCTATCATAGCCATTAGGACGATACTAGCTGGCATCAGCTCTGTATGTGTCAGTAGATGATATAAAACTGTTTATGTAGCGAATCCTGGCTCAGACAATTTCTGAGCAGCTGCAGCAGTTTGGTGTGGCGATTGATGGTGTCATGGACATGGAAGCAGACAGACTTACAGATATTGTCGTGGGAGCACGAGGGACTGTGATGCTGTTAAAGTAAGAACAATTACACAACAAAATAAACAACTTTAACTATAATGTAACCACCAAGTGATCCAACCAACCAACCTTAACACAATTAAATAAAGTTCTGACCCAAAAACTATTTTCCTTGATGGGGTCATACATTTTGTGACAAATCAATGTGAAGTGTTTTTATAGCCCAGTTAGTGATAACTGTGATGTGTCTGGTTCTTTCAGGGCTCGACCAGTTCTGTCTGTTTCTGCACAACTCAGTTTCTCCCCCTCTGAAATCAGCCTTGACAACTTTGACTGCTTAGTCCAAACCGATAACACAATAGAGGCTGTTATCCTCATTGCCTGCTTCAGTGTGGCAGAGAAAACCCAAAGCACAGGTATGCTAACCTGGAGCGCAGCTATACAGTGCCAAAAGCACACTTGGGCTTTTGATAGACAATAGTGTGGAAAGAAAAAAAATAATGCTCACCAGGGGCCGTCTGCACCAACAGGTCTTAACTAAGACTTAACTGCTAAGGCTGTAGCTGAGACTGTTCGAGCCAACTGACTGAGTTGGCTGTTTTCAGAGAGGACTTTTCACCCATAGCATCAAGCAAAAGAGCAACTAAGACCAATATTAGTGGTGCACATTCATGTAAAAACCTATGTAATAATGAAGGTTGCTAAGCAACCTGTCTTACTGTACACCTGCTACTGGCCAAAGCAGAAGTAATTTTACCAACAATAAAACTTGCACCATGATTAAGTTATAGATTCTGCGTAAAGTCACACTAATTGATAAACAACCCAACAGCTGAAATAATAAACAGTCAGCATAGGCTGGTTCAGGGGGACAGCGTTCAGTAGGACAGCATTTTTAACCTTTTTGAACACTGACCATCCAAAAATGTATTTATTTTTTTTTTATGGGACCTTGTCCATCTCACATACACTTCAGCTCTGGATGTTTCCCTCTGCGGTTTTCTGTTGTAAACACATGCTATATTGCTAGCTCTGCTTCTACGCATAGAATGGATAAGACAAGGACTTTGTAACCCAAGATAGCCACCAAATGCACTGACGAAAATGGGGAAAATGAATCTGCAAAAATCTCTCAACTATTTGTAAACTCATTCTGAACAAAACTATATCCCTGATTTTTGGGTGCATTTTGTATCATTCCTGCTTCAACCACACTGTCTACATGCCAGTATGTGACTCCATCATCTAACTCAGAAAGTCCCAACCCTGATCCAGAAGGTCTACCATCCCTTTTAAAACCTCATCCTAATTTAGCACCTAAAATGTTTCTGTAGACCTGGATTTGTCAGAGCAGAGTTTTAGCTAAACTCTGCTTTAACTCCAGGATCAGGGTTGGAACTCCTGATCTAACCACACCATCTACATAACACTGCAAATCTAATCTCTGTGTCATGATCTACCAGTCAAACTGTCTTCCTGTTTCAGAACTGTGTGAAGGACACAGTGTCTCCTGTGTTCATCCGGCTGAATTTCTCCCAGGCTGACCAGCAGCCAAGCAGCTCCAGTGCTGTCCTTAACGCTGACAGCAGAACAACTGCTAATGTGGAGGTGAGCCATGTTTCTGTTAGTCCGTATGACTGAGTGTCAATCAAGTCTCAGACTGTAGATGATGAGGCTTCACCTGGATCCAGAGCCTCCACTGTGCAAACAGCCCTCCTGCTGCGGTGTTGGCAAGTTGGGGTCATCAAAGGTCTGATAGAGCAATGAGGCAAGGACTCTAATGAGGTTCTAAGTGAGGTCATCACACATCCTAAGAGTGTACCACACCCCCAAGATCAAACTCTCACTATACATCTACTGTAAACATTCAAGCGTTCAAATACAAGTTGCTTAATCTGCTCTATTGATTATTGATTCAAATACATCCCTAGTTATCTACTGTTTTTAAGATTAATTAAAATTCTTTGTGACTGCTAGATAACACTGCTTGTTACTGTGCAATTATTTTATAATTTTATTTTATTATCATATTACCTTGAGCACCCATACATGTTGAGCAGGATTTTCTGCTTACATAAAAGTAATGGCAACAATCCTATAATCATCTGGTCATCTGGTACTGGGGGTACTGGGGGGGTACTGGGGGTACTGGGGGTTAAATGTTGAGCTGACTAGCTGATTGGAGTCAGTCCCTGAAGTAAATTCATTTTCAATCTTGTTAAATCAGCAATAAAAGTGAGGCCTTTTCCACCCATAATGGTGGGAAAACGTATCTGTGTCCCTTCTGGCCTCTGTTTGATCCGTTTACTCCTGTGGTTCCAGATTCCCTTCCAAAGAAACTGTGGGAATGTGAGCTGTGTGGCAGATCTAGAGCTGGACTTTGACTTCTTGTAAGAATCTCATCAGACTCAAACACACACAGGTGGATCTGAAGATGAAATGTGTGAAACTCTGTGTTTATCAGCTTTTTGAAGTGTTTGTTGTCCACTTTCAGGAGCAGCTCTTTGCTGGTGGTGGATCAGTCATATTTCATCATCATCGTTTCTCTGCTGAATAAAGGAGATGATTCCTTCAACACTAGAGTGGAGCTTCGCCACCCAGAGGGCCTGTTGTTCTCCAAGTTTGACACTATTAAGGTACAGCTAATCCTGATTAGAATCATTAATGCAAAGACAACAGTCCCAGTGAAACTACTCTGTTACTGTTACTGACCCCAGAAAATGTTAGCAACCTGCACTTAGTGCCTTTGATGATGAGAAAGTACTTGGCTTGGCTAATTTGGAAATATTTCCAGGTTGATGGGAGAGGAGGAGCCATATGGATAAATTTTGATTTTCAGGATGCATCCTATCAGACTAGCAACTTTTTGTTTCCACAATACAAAAAAAAAAAAAAATAAATTTCTTATTTCTCCCCAGTTTAGTCATTACCAATTTAACCCATTAGCCAACTCTCTCTCTATCACATGATGCTTATATGCTGGGAGGGCAAAGGCTAGCAAGAAACCTGAAGCGAGGCAAAATCATCGGACAGCTCAACACACTTGGAGGAGAATGCTTACAGCCAATTCTGTTACATCATGTAACAGGCCTTCCCTTGGGGACAGGGAAGGCCATGCCGCTTACCAATCCAGAGAGGGAGTGAGGCCAATTAGGCTTTCTTGGGCTCTTGGCCTTAGATGGCTTTGACATCACTGAACTTACTGTATTTGAGCAAACATTTTGAAACTGTGCTGTACGCAGTGTGATGCTCCTGATAGAAATGACTGTTGTGATGTGAAATAGTACCTGTAATGCCTATTCCAGGCCAGCAGGAGGACTCTGAGCAGTTGTGGAGATCGAGACGATGGTGCTCTGAATAAAACCACCTGCAGCATCAGTTTACCAGTGTACCGCAAAGGCACCAGCGTAAGAGATATACTGTATTTATGACAACCTGATATTTTTCAAAAATCTAATGCAATCTTTGGACATTTTGATAGATATCCAGGATTTAAAATATTAACCAACTATCTTTGAAAGGTACTATACCAGTGGTCACCAACTCCCCACCTGAAAATCTGCTTTCCTGTAATGATGTTTAGTTCCAACTTGTTTCTGACCCTTTACCTATCACTAATGCATTTGATCCACCCAAACAAAAACTTCTGAATGCGTTAATTAGCTGAAGTAGGTTTGGCAGACTGTTTGTGGAGCAAGGCTTAGTAGGAAGGTAGACCTCCAGTGGCAGGGTTGATAATGCATTATACTGTACTGTTACTCTGACGTGTAGTAATGTATACACCTATATATTGTCAAATTTCCACATAATGTCCAGTTGAGTCAAAGAACAAAGATTTGGTTGTTTAACCTCAACTGCAGCACTATTTAGGTGTATAGTATGATAATGATTATCCATTACATTTTGTAGGCAACATACCGGGCTACGTTTCGTATCTCTGGATCCTACAACTGGAGTGACACGATGGAGATGACTCTTGTGGCCAACAGGTAAGTACAATCATATTGGTAAAGCACATAGGATCATTCTCAGTTTCTTCAGGCTGTTGTGTAATGTGTTATCTAATGCATCAAAAGACAAATGTAATTTAAGTTTACAATGGAAAACATTAGTGTATGTAAGTGAAGGAGTCTTTCAGACTGCAGTTCCATTTAATGAACTACTACTCTGTTTTATGCTCTATGTGAGAATGAGTTTAATTCTTTTTTTATGTGTTTACAGTAGTAACAATGGTAACCAAACTAACGGAACAGTGACGAAATCTCTGCCAGTTCAGTTCGCTGTAGATGTGGCCGTCAGCTTGTAAGTAACATTTCCACTGTACCACCAGCTCAATAACCATAGCAGGTTCCAACGGGGCCACAGCTACGGAGCAGTGAGCTAGGCTTCTCTTATGACTAGAGGGCTTGGTGGTTGCATTGCTCTTCATTTTCAGGGGATGTCAGGGTTCAGTAGCCCCATTAAGAACACTTCTAACTTGGTAAAGCGGGATAAACCCCAGTAAATGATGAGTGAAGTAGAGGTGTATAACATTAGCCATGCATCACTGCATCATCCTTTAGGACACAGCACATGTGCCTATTGTTAGTTTGTTCACAGTTGCACCTGCCTGGGTTTCACTCCCTGCTCCTTGGACTGTTCTTTGCTGTTTGGTTGTAGTTAATGACAAAATGATCGATATTTCTACGGTCTAAAATGACTTAACACCCAGTTTAGAGTGAGCAGGTCCTAAATAGCTTGTAGCAAATTGTATTCAGCATGTAGCCATGTGGTGACACGTTAATATCCAAAAGCAGTTGATTTGGCTTTCCTTCATGAGCACCGTACACTGGTTGTACCTTCAGTAATATAAAGTTATTTGAGTGGGTGGCAGTCCAGTTATGTGTAACTTCCATCCATCCATCCATCCATCATCTAAACCGCTTATCCCTCTGGGTTGCGGTGGGGTGCTGGAGCCTATCCCAGCCGTGTTATGTGTAACTTCGAATGTATTAAAATAACTGGCAAAAGTGTGACATTGTAACGACCATGTGATCAATGTGTGATCATGAGTATTCTTGTCATTTATTCTGCTGCATAATATTCTACTACCACCTGTTGGATATTCACAAGCATAACACCTCTTACGCCTTTTGTATTGGATTCTACAGAGCAGCACTGTTTCTTGTTTATCATCATTTGATTTGTGATTATTTGATAGCATGATATCAGAAACATATATTTATTTGATATTTATTTATTTTTCATAGAGTCCACTTATTGCCACACCTATTCCCAATGTCAAATTGTCCATCCAACCTTGGATTTGGTATAATCTGATATAAAATTATCTGGAGGTCTTTCTATCCAAAGAGGCCAGTTGATGTACTGCCAGCAAAGTGATGCACAATGTGGGCAGTAGTTTTGTATTGTATTTTGGTCACTGCAGCACTGTAACCCTTCATTTCTCTATTTCCCAGAGAGCATTCTGTAACCTATCTGAATTTCTCTCTGGAAGACAAAGGCCCAAAGCCTGTTGACATTGTCTATATGGTGAGTGGCTTCTAGACACAATGCATGACCCTTCACTTCCTCTAGATGTCTCACCCGACCACAGACTCCTCTAAAATTACCGCAACGCCACTACAGATTTCCCTACAGATACACCAGCAACTGCAGACCCCACTACAGATCCCTCTACAGATACACCACCAACTGCAGACTCCTCTGCCCCTACCCCACTACTGATCCCTTTACAAATCAGTCATACTACCAACTTACAGATCCCTGAAATCTCCACCCCTCTAGATTTCTCTACAAATTCTCTAGAGATTTCTCCACCCCACCAACTACAGACCCTCTAAAGTTACCCCTACCCCATTACAGATTCCTCTACACATACACCTCCAACTACAGACCATTCTGAAATGATCCCACCCCACTACAGATCCCTGAAAATAACCTTCATCTCACTACATAACCCTACCCACTACTAAAACGTTAGCCCTACCCCACTACAGATCTCTTAAAGTTACTACAGATCCCTTTACAGTTTCAACACCCCACTACAGATCCCTCAAAATTACCTTCACCCCATTACAGATCCCTCTACAGATACCCCAACTACTATAAAGCTATCCCTGCTCAGATAACCCACCCACTACAGATCTATTTAAAGCTATCTCTACCCCACTACAGATTCATTTAAAGGTGAAAGTGAAATAGGTAAAATAGATCAAAGAGATGTTTTATGCATGTGTATATTTACATTTGTGTATATGCATCTGTTAACAGGTGATGAATCAAGGAGTTAAAGGTCTACCTGTTTCAGTAAAGTTCATGATGCCATCTAAGATTGGGGAGAACTTCATTCTAGAAAAGCACATCATCACTATACCAGAGGTGTTCATTCATTCATTCATTCATTCATTCATTCATTCACTCACTCACTCATTAGATTTCCCTTCTCTGTGTAAATGATTCACATATTTATAAATCATCTATTATACTACAAATCTGTCTTTACAGAACCTGACAGACTGCAGCTTCAGAAGGAAAAATGACTCTGCTGTAAGATATGCCTTTATTAACATTGTGTAAAAATGAATAAGCACTGTCTGTCTGTTCTTTTACTTTTTCCCTTCATTTAAATGTCATTCATTGCATTTACAAATACAGAACACAACTGATTTCATTCACTCATTCAATCATTCAAATATATATGAAATTATTCACACATCAAGAATTACTAATGCAATTCACATTTTGTTGAAGTGTTGCATTTTGTTTTTGAAATTACAACAAACTACAAATTTCTGAAGCAGATTTCTGGAAAGATTCATGAATAAAAAACAAAAACTTTGGTATAAAGCAGTTCAGATTAAAGCCTTTTTAGCCACAGTGTTAAGCATCGCCAAGAAACCATTCATATTGTAGTATTCACACTGTTCAAGGAGAGGCAGCTTTCACAGAGGTTGTGGAGCTTTATTAACCAGCTGTTGTTCCCCACAGCCACATCGTATATAAGCAGTATGTTCTGTGAGAGAGTTCACTCCAGCCTCGCCATGTCTTACTTTCTCAGTCGTCAGCGCTAGACTGGTTCTCAGTTCTTCCTGATCTACCTGGTGGGCTAGCCCAGTCTTCATTATAAGAGTGCGTATACAACCCCAATTCCAAAAAAGTTAGGACGGTGTGTAAAATGTAAATAAAATGTATATAAAAACAGAAATCAATGATTTGCAAATATCATAGAACCATATTTTATCCACAATAGAACATAAAACACATACCAGATGTTGAAAGTGAGACATTTTACCATTTCATGAAAAATATTATCTAACTTAGAACTTGATGGCAGCAACGCATCTCAAAAAAGTTGGGACAGAGCCGTGTCTACGTTGTGTAGCATCCCCTCTTCTTTAACAACAGTCTGTACACATCTGGGAAGTGAAGAGACCAATGGCTGGAGTTTTGGGAGAGGAATGTTGTCCCATTCTTGTCTGATGTAGGATTCTGCCTGGATGGGAACATATGTTGTTCTAACTGTTCAGCATTGATAGTGCCTTTCCAGATGTGTAAGCTGCCCATGCCATAGGCACTAATGCAGCCCCAGACCATCAGAGATGCAGGCTTTTCCAAAAATAATGTCAAATTTTGATCCATCTGACCACAAAACAGTTTTCCATTTTGCCTCAGTCCATTTTAAATGAAAGCATTCCTGAGTCCATGCAGTGATTTCCAGTACAGAAATCATGCCTGTTTTTAATGCAGTGCCGCCTGAGGGCCCGAGATCATGAGCATCTAATGACCGTCAGCCTTGTCCCTTGCGTACAGGAATTGTCTTTTGTAGTCTCGTAACAAAGCAAATTTTGTGCAAATGTACATAAACCCTGTCTGTCCTCGCAGATCTGTTGACTCATAGATTGTCTCAAAAATGAAAGGTTGTTTCGTTGTTGTTACCGTTCTCTGTGTGAATGATTCACATGTTCACAAATAATCTGTCATACTAAAACGTTTTCTTTACAGAGCCTGACAGGCTGTATTCTCAGAGAGGAAACTGACCCTGCTGTAAGCCATGCCTTTGGTTTATTAACATTCTATGAAAACAAATAAGGACTATCTGTCTATTGTTTGTTTATTTCCTTTAACAAAAAGCTAAACAAACACAGATTTATAGCGATTTGCAGCATCTGTTATTTCGGTGGACACAGTAAAGAATAAAAGAGTAAAACTCATTTGGGTGAAGGTTGTGGATGTGAGACACGATCAGTGTGTGGTCGTTTTTGGTATTTACATTGTATTGGCACTCGATTGTCCTCCTGCCATAAACTCAATAACTTAAAGAACTCACATTAGACACACTATACAAGTGATTTTATTTACTCCCTGTAATTAGATTTTTCACGTTCTTAGATTTCACTGGCTGTTAATGGGATCTCTTTAGATCAGGGGTGTCCAAACTTTTTTCACGCGAGGAGCTGCGACGAGCTACTGTGTTTCCTATCACTGTGTAAAAGATGCTCAAGGCTTCACTTATTGCTGATCTGCTCATTCAGTGTAATTCGGATCAGTAAGCAATTAAAAATATTGATTTGATTATTCAGGATAACAGCAAATATAATGTGATGTATACGCTGTGTTTCATGTCTGTTGATATTAAATTTAACAGTCTTTTGAAATATGAGGCTCATTTGCTGCGGCTCTCAATGAAAAGTGGGTCAGTAAATGAAGCTGCAGGTCAGTCAGAGAAGAAAGGCTCTTAAACTTAAGCGAACTTCGTTACCGCAGTGCAGCGTTACACTGTAATCGTACAGCACTGCTTACAGAGGGAGGTGCTCAGGCCCAGTAGGCTCAGTTTTCCAATCAGCTGCTGAGGGATGATGGTGTTGAATGCTGAACTGACGTCTATGAACAGCATTCTGACATAGGTGGCTCTATGACGGTAGTCATTGAGGCAGGACACTGGAGACTTCTTCAGCACAGGGATGATGGTGGTGGTGGAGCACGTTGGAACGACTGCAGTGCTCAGAGCGATGTTGAATATGTCCGTGAGACCATCAGCCAGCTGTTCGGCGCATTCTCTGAGCACTCAGCCCGGTATGCTGTCAGATCCTGGGGCTTTCCGTGGGTTGACTCTGTGTAGAGTTCTCCGCACATCAGCTGTGGACAGACACAGCACCTGTTCATTTGGAGGAGGTGTGGTTTTCCTCACCGCCGTGCCGTTCTGTGCTTCAAACCAGGCATAAAAGTTTAGCGCGTTCGGGAGGGAGGCATCACTGTCATAAGCAGGTGGAGGTGACGTGTAATTGGTGATGGCCTGGATGCCCTGCCACATGCGCCGTGTGTCAGCAGTGTTTTGAAAGTGATTGTGGATTTTCTTTGAGTAGGCACGCTTAGCCTCTTTGATGGCCCGGGAAAGCTTGGCTCTTGCTATCCTGAGGCTTGCTCTGTCCCTTGACTTGAAAGCCTTGTCACGGGTTCTCAGCAGCATGTGCACCTCTGCAGTCATCCATGGTTTCTGGTTGGGGTGAGTTGTGACGAGTTTGGAGACAGTAACATCTTCAATGCACTTGGTGATGTAGCCAGTCACTGATTCTGTATAGTCCTCCAGGTTGGTGGAGTCGCCGGAGGTTGCTGCTTCTCTGAACATCTCCCATTCAGTGTTGATGTAAACACACAGTGCCCCACCTCGAGTCTTACCGCACGGCTCAGCATCTCTGTCCGCACGGAAGCACAGCAGGCCATCGAGCTGAATGGCCAAGTCCGGAGTGGAGCTCGTCATCCACGTCTCCGTAAAAGCGAAAACACAGCAGTCTCTGAACTCACGCTGGGTAGCCCGCTGGATCCGGAGGTAGTCCAGTTTATTTTCTAGGGAACAAACGTTTGATAGAAGAAGCGATGGAACGACTGGTCCTCTGGGGTTAGCCATTAGCCTAGCGCGCACCCCGGCTCACATGCCTCGTTTGCGCCGTCTCGCGCATCGCTTTTGGCCAGCAGGCTCACGCAGCGCCGTGGATCTTAGCAGGCCTAGCTCGCACAGCTCTTCCCGCAGTCTGTCTGGGAGCAGAGATTGAGGCTGATTTCTCAGCTGTAGCAGGTTTTGGTGATGGTAGATGTTGGTGCTGGTTGTAGCAATCATGATTTTTGAGTTTTGGTTGGGTTACATGACAGATAGTAAAACAAAAAGGGCAAAAAAGCACCGTTTTGTTGTTCCCGAAGTGGCCGCTGCAGCTACACGCCACGCCACCGGAAACAGAAAAATCTATGACACTGTGACTTTGGACGCCCCTGATTCAGATCAACATCAGTACACACATCTAGGTTACATCCAGATTCTGAAAAGGTTTAATGTTCTTTATTAATAAGCACTGATTTTCTTCGTTTTATTCTAAAATTCTCTTTGTTTGTTTTGTTTTTGTTTACTCCAGTTGTGTTTGAAGCAGAAGAGCTGTGTACGGTTTGAGTGTCCGTCCTTCTGCCTGGAGAAAGACTCTGCTGTTAAGTTTGAGCTGAAAGCCCAGCTCACCTTCCTCAACCCTAAGCAGTACACAGGGGTGAGACCCATTTGATATGTTTAATCAACTTTCTGCACAAAAATGTTTGTTTGGGTTTATTGAATAAAATCTGTCACATGACAGTAAATTTAGATGTAAATGCATCATTTTTTCCCCATTGATAAACTAATTTTATTGAGCTAAACTGAATAACTTACATCATCTTTTTGAAGCATTACATTTTTTTTAATCCTTTGGATGGAAATGTAGCTATAAACACAAACAGGCTGTGTTTAGATCTGATGATTGTATCTTGTGCCTCAAAACTAAATTAAAACTGTTCTCCATGTTTTCCTCTCCAGAGATTTCGGTTCAGTGAGTTCAGTTTGGAGGACGGGTTCTCAAGCTCTGCTGAGCTGGACTTTGACAAAAGCCTCTACCATCAGATGTCTAACGGCCCACAGGTGAGAGCCGTGATCAGACAGCAGCCCAGCACTTTAACTTCCTGTTACTCCTGTATCAACTTCCTCCTTTCCTGTTTTGCAGGACGATGCCACCAAATACCACAAAGCACAGGTACAAAATTAAACTTTCTTTGCTTTAAGTTATGTTTTAATGTTTATGTTTAAGGGCAAGTCCACCCCGAATCACCAAATTTCAGTAAAACGTCCTGATTGATTATCTCAGATTTGCTGAACATTTTTAGGATATAATGTGTTTGTGTCCAACAGATATTACCTCAAATTTCAGGCTTATGGCTTCTTTAGTTTCAGAGATTAATAAGACATACCTCAAAAATTAAGTTGCTTTAAATTGAGTTCTAAAGGAAAAGGTACAAACTTCATCTGATACATCATAACCTTTGACCTTCTGATGCAAGCTTCATGACTTTTTCAAAGGTTATTCTAAACAACCAAGACAGAAGATACAGAGATAGATGTTTATTAACTTATGGCTTGTTGAACATCCAGAAAATAATTTGTTTTTGCTCATTGAAGTACATTTGACTCACCATATTACATAAAGTAGCACATCAGATCTTTTCAAATTTGGCATTTATTACTTTATATTTCATATATCGCAGGACTTTTTTGGCATGTAGGTTTTTGTCTAATGCTATGCTTACATTTCAAAAATAGCATTATAAAAAATAAAAAAGATTTTTTTTTATTATTTATAGGAATGCAAAGAACATGTTTCCATTATCAAATCTACCAAATATAAAGTTATTATCTTTCCACACAACATATTATGCGTGCACAAAACCACATTAGGCACCTATTCTAAAGTCTATATCTAAATAATCTATTCATCAATCTTCTATCAGACTTTGAAATATTACAATGTCAGAGAAATGAAGCCTAAAAACAGTGAAATACTGAAAGTTTTTTCTGTGTGTCTGATCTCAGGCCACTGTTAAAGCTGAGCTGATTATTCCTCCTGATATGTATATGATCGTGGGCTCGGGTGCAGGAGGTGGGCTCCTCCTACTCATCATCATCTTTGTGCTGATGTGGAAGGTAAGAGCCAGTCAAAGCGCACTCCATCATCCAAGATTAAACCAACCACCACCATTAAATCAATCAACCAAAACCACCTACTTTAGCAGGAAGGGAACATCTGACTAACATGCAGACCAACCAATCACACACCGCTGTTTTAGCATAATGAGTTGCCTGTTGTCAGAATTTTGCTACAACATAAACACAAAGTGGTTTAACTGCCTGCAAACACATGAGGATATCTCAGCTCACAGCCACTAACCTCAAACTACAGTTATTGGATACTTTTTAAAGATGATCAGTTTCAGTCCGGCGACTACCTCTCAGTGCGAAAGGCTGAAAAAACATTTGGGTGAGGATCGTGGATGTGAGATGTTTTTGGAATTCATGTTTCGTTCAGGCACTTGACTGTGCTCCAGCCCTAAACTCTGGAGTTGAGTGGAAATATCAAAATTGTTTGATGTACTTAGTCTGAAACTTGATCTGAAGGCAAAAATCGAAATCACTCGATTTTTGTTAACGCTTTGTTTAACAGTCCTCCAGGTTCTAGGCATTAGCTGGGTAAGTGTGAGGTACAAACTCCCAAGTACTACGACTAATTATTCTGCTTAAAATGTAACACCAAGACAGTCTAACTGAAATACACTGAACTATGCACAATATTAAGCAGGTAGAGGACATAATAAAACATCTCATATTTTACAGTAACAAGGTGGTTAATACAAACATGCTAAACAAGCCCTGTGAACGCGAGAACTGTCATCTTGGAATACAGGGATAGGAATGTTATGTTCCTCGATAAGATGATGAGCAGAAGGCAAATTGTGGTTGTCCAGCAGCTCGATGTCGGCACTGTGGTTAAAATTTACCTCAACCAAACGACCCATTTCGGCATAATTAATACACCCCCAGATCATCACATATCTCCTCAAGCTTGAACTGAGGTTTATGATGAACAACATTCACATACAGACAGAAACCAGATTCACCTGACCAGATAACACATTTCAAGTCATAAACAGTCCTGTTGTTGTGTCTCTTTGTCCACTGTAACTGGCAACAACTTTGTGAGCAGAAGTGAGCAAAGGCCTCTTGCGAGCCACTCTGCTCCATATGTTCATGGTACGCAGTTCCCTGCGGAGTTTCTTTCAGAAATTGGTTGTGAGGGACCTGCATTGACTTTTAGAGGCAATTTTTATTCACAAGCCGTGAAACACACCGGCGGTCTCTGTTCGTCAGTTTCATCTTTCAGCCACAATTCTGATGACGAATTTCCTGTAGACTAGGATTTCTGCCACTGTATGACCGTACGCTTCGATACACCTGCAAATTCAGCTACTTCCTTCACACTGTGACCTTTGGCACGTGCAAATACAATCACTCCTTTTTGCCAATCATTAACATTTGCTTTATGACCCATTTTCCACACATCGAACGAGACGCTCACTGCACTGTACCACCTCTTCTCAATCTATGAATCCCATCACACACCCTGCAGGTATTTATTGCCTGATCATCCTTCTGCAATGCCATCAGCAGGAGCCTGAAATGACTAATTTTTTGTCCAGGGAGGTTATATCTAAATAAAATATATAACAACATCTGCATAAGCCCAAAAATAGAGAATCTAACAGTACTATTAAACGTTATGGTATTAAAACATTCAGTATTTTAGAGTATTTGTTGCTTTGACTTTTAAACAGCTTTTCACAGCATTGTTTGGAAAGGAAAGTGAACCAAATCCCTTCAGAAGGGAGCTGAAGTCTACATTTACACTGATTCGATCCTTCGCTCCTAATAAACTTCAATAACTCAATAAATAAACTTCACCTGTGCTAATGCAGTAATGTAACAGTCGGATGTCTTCTAGGGTGGGGGTGACAGGGGAAAGTCAACAGGGCCACATTAAAAACAGAACTGAAACCGAGCTCTTTTCCTCTCTCACTTCCTCTGCAGTTGGGGTTCTTTAAGCGTAAGCATCCACGTGGAGAAGATGGACAGTACGGAGACGGAGAATATCAGATTGAAGAAAAAGAGAAGGACTTCAGTGATTCTAATGGAAAGAGTGAGGAGTCGTCTCCTGAACACGAAGATAAACTCACCGGCAACGGCTCTGAGAATGGAGGAACACCAGCATTAGAAGCAGGGAAAGAAGAAGGTGGAGAGTAAAGAGGCTTTGCTGTGAGATCAAACCTTCATTTAGCCTACAACAATAATACTGGCATAGATAGAACTTCTGCAGGCTCTTTATGTTCTTTGCAGGCTTGTGTTTGTGGCTGTTTGATTCATTTGGAAAGTAATGTGTTTTATTCACCTTTTGTCCATCAACCTCTCCAAAAAAGTTTGACTTTACTGATACAGTTTAAAAGGGAATTCCACCAGTTCATCAACAGCCCAGCATAATTAAATGGTTAAGATGTAAACAAAGTAGTTCAGAGTGGTTTGCTGTGAAACGATGCATTCTGGAGAAACTTGCCGAGTCAGAATTGTTCACAGTGGTGGTGATAGGAACCAGATGTCTATCTCTAAGGCTGCGTTTACACAGCAGGTAAAAGTGGCCCAAATCTGATTTTCCCACAAAATCCAGTTTATTTGTTTGGCTGCTCAGATTATCTTTTAAATGTGGTCTGTATGCAACATCAATCTGAACAGATCAGCTCCTAAACTGACCCACATGCGCAATAGAACAGAGCTTCACGCTGCTTCACGGCTCATCCAGAGGTAAACAATCATGACCGCCAACGAACGCCAGTCGCTCCCGGAGGATCAGCTTCATCTTCACCAGCATCACAGGAGCCATCATGATTTCATTCTCTGAAAAGCATGAAATATTTCACTTTAATTTACATTTTTACTTTTTTATTATTTCACCAGTGTCTGAGTGTGAGCCAATCAGAATTAGAGAGATGTTTATAAGATGCTTTTAATCATTTTGTGTAACAGTGTTAAAAACATCTGTGTCTAGAATTCTGTACAGAATTTGACAAATTTATGGGATTATTTTATTTTGTGCACATATTACTGTTACTCGTACTATTATTATTATCACTACTGTTAGTACCACGGAAAGTGTCACTGTTACTGCTACTGTTACTCATACCTATACTCACTGTCACTGTTACTGCTACTGTTACTCATACCTATACTCACTGTCACTGTTACTGCTACTGTTACTCATACCTATACTCACTGTTGTTGTTACTGTTACTCATACCTATACTCACTGTCACTGTTACTGCTACTGTTACTCATACCTATACTCACTGTCACTGCTACTGTTACTCATACCTATACTCACTGTCACTGTTACTGCTACTGTTACTCATACCTATACTCACTGTCACTGTTACTGTTACTCATACCTATACTCACTGTCACTGTTACTGCTACTGTTACTCATACCTATACTCACTGTCACTGTTACTGTTACTCATACCTATACTCACTGTCACTGTTACTGCTACTGTTACTCATACCTATACTCACTGTCACTGTTATTGTTACTCATACCTATACTCACTGTCACTGTTACTGCTACTGTTACTCATACCTATACTCACTGTCACTGTTACTGCTACTGTTACTCATACCTATACTCACTGTCACTGTTACTGTTACTCATACCTATACTCACTGTCACTGCTACTGTTACTCATACCTATACTCACTGTCACTGTTACTGCTACTGTTACTCATACCTATACTCACTGTCACTGTTACTGCTACTGTTACTCATACCTATACTCACTGTCACTGTTACTGTTACTCATACCTATACTCACTGTCACTGTTACTGTTACTGTTACTCATACCTATACTCACTGTCACTGTCACTGCTACTGTTACTCATACCTATACTCACTGTCACTGCTACTGCTACTGTTACTCATACCTATACTCACTGTCACTGTCACTGCTACTGTTACTCATACCTATACTCACTGTCACTGTTACTGCTACTGTTACTCATACCTATACTCACTGTCACTGTTACTGTTACTGTTACTCATACCTATACTCACTGTCACTGTCACTGCTACTGTTACTCATACCTATACTCACTGTCACTGTTACTGCTACTGTTACTCATACCTATACTCACTGTCACTGTTACTGCTACTGTTACTCATACCTATACTCACTGTCACTGTTACTGTTACTGTTACTCATACCTATACTCACTGTCACTGTCACTGTTACTGTTACTCATACCTATACTCACTGTTACTGTTACTGATTCTCATTCTTGATATTCTCACCTAAAGGAGACATGCAGGTTGCTAAAACTGCATGTGACAGACTGACACAGCAGGTCAAGCCTTTGAGTTTTTTGTTCAGGGCCAATATGGCTAATATTCCAGCTAATACAGCACTGTTTTAGTACACTGGGTCTTTATTATCAGCTGCTTATAATAACAATGACTCCTATAATAAAGAATCCTTCCAGAAATGATCAGATAAATACTGGTTTATTCAGAAAACACACAGTAAAGAGCTCTGTACCATAATATAAACCTGAAATCTATATCAGTCCAGCGGCGTTGGACGGACGCCAAAAGACTCTGAAGGTGCGCTCGCATCTCTTCAGTTCTAGTCCAACGCGCCGGTGCGAGGAAACACGCGCACAAACACAGCAGGAACACTGACGAGCCGCGCCTGGAGCTTCAGAGCGGCTAATTGGCGGAGGCGCTGAGAGGCGCTGAGAGGCGTTTTCGGTCGATAATACTGACTCATCTAATCAGATATTAGATCTGAAACAGCATGTAAACCTTTCAGAAGCCCTATAGTGAATAATAGTAGTGGAAATAAAGCGAAATGCAGAGTTTATCAGCACAGAAACTGAGATTTACTAGAAGAATGAAACAGAAACTTTGAAGAAGCGGCTATTTTACTGTTTTTCCACAGCGGATTACTCACAGACGCTTCATCGGACCGCACTTTTTACTGCAGTGTTTTAGAGAAAGTTTCACACACGTTCATTAGAACTGTCTTTAAAAGTCTGGTGACAGATATTATTGAAGTGCAGTATAAAACAGCAGATATGGACACTGGGACATAACATAGCAACCTCCACGACCCAGGGGGATAAGCAGTGTGAATGAATGAATGAATAAATGAATGAGTGAATGAATGAATGAGTTTTATTCACTCATTATTCATTCTTTGGACTTGTTTTTAATGCAAAATCAACTCACAGTAGAAAACATCAATATGTGATCAAGTTCAGACACTGATATTCAGTGCAGGGTCAGCATTAGATACAGTAGAGTCTGGGTCAACATTAGATACAGTAGAGTCAGGGTCAGCATTAGATACAGTAGAATCAGGGTCAGCATTAGATACAGTAGAGTCAGGGTTAACATTAGATATAGTAGAGTCAGGGTCAACATTAGATACAGTAGAATCAGGGTCAGCATTAGATACAGTAAAGTCAGGGCCAGCATTAGATACAGTAGAGTCAGGGTTAACATTAGATACAGTAGAGTCAGGGTCAGCATTAGACACAGTAGAGTCAGGGTTAACATTAGATACAGTAGAGTCAGGGTCAGCATGAGATACAGTAGAGTCAGGGTCAGCATTAGATACAGTAGAGTCAGGGTCAGCATGAGATACAGTAGAGTCAGGGTCAGCATTAGATACAGTAGAGTCAGGGTTAGCTTTAGATACAGTAGAGTCAGGGTCAGCATTAGATACAGTAGAGGTAGGGGTAGCATTGGATACAGTAGAGTCAGGGTTAACATTAGATACAGTAGAGTCAGTGTCAGCATTAGATACAGTAGAGTCAGGGTTAACATTAGATACAGTAGAGTCAGGGTCAACATTAGATACAGTAGAATCAGGGTCAGCATTAGATACAGTAGAGTCAGGGTTAACATTAGATACAGTAGAGTCAGGGTCAACATTAGATACAGTAGAGTCAGGGTTAGTATTAGATACAGTAGAGTCAGGGTCAACATTAGATACAGTAGAGTCAGGGTTAGTATTAGATACAGTAGAGTCAAGGTTAGCATTAGATACAGTAGAATCAGGGTTAGCATTAGCTACAGTAGAGTCAGGGTCAACAATAGATACAGTAGAGTCAGGGTCAACAATAGATACAGTAGAGTCAGGGTCAACATTAGCTACAGTAGAGTCAGGGTTAGTATTAGATACAGTAGAGTCAAGGTTAGCATTAGATACAGTAGAATCAGGGTTAGCATTAGCTACAGTAGAGTCAGGGTCAGCAATAGATACAGTAGAGTCAGGGTCAACATTAGCTACAGTAGAGTCAGGATTCATTTTCACTTTAAGATTCATATTCATTCACATTAACTACCGTGGAGTCTGTATAAGCATTAGATACAGTAGAGGTAGGGGTAGCACTGGATACAGTAGAGTCAGGGTCAACATTAGATACAGTAGAGTCAGGGTTAACATTAGATACAGTAAGGTCAGGATTCATTTTCACTTTAAGATTCTGTTGAAGAGTAGTTTAGCATCGGATCTGATCCACATCTCTGTGGACCACGTTGGCATTGTGTGTATATGACGTCAGGTTCTTCAGGATATAGTGACGCTGTGGGTGCGTCGGTAACGCTCGTGCAACCAAAAGGAGAACCCAGTTACCAGCAACCCCACGCCAAGCACAGCACAGACAGTGATGATGATCAGCTTGTAGTCCACTGATGAAGACACGAAGGAAAACAACATCAGCTTCACTTTCACAGATTAGATCTACACATACAGCGTTTACATGATCTTCACACTCACCTACAACGTTAACCATCACAGAATCAGAGCCTGCATCATTGTAGGCAGTGCAGTTGTATTGACCCTGATTTTCTGACTGGACACTGCTGATGATGAGGATGGAGGAGTGTGTAATGATTTTTCCAGGTGAGCCCCAGTAGTACTGAGGACTGGGGTTACCATGTGCTGAACAGTTCAGAACCAGCTCATCGCCCTTAATCACAGATATGGTATCATTGGAAGGTTGTGTTATGGTGGGCTTGTCTGATGAGAAACAGAGAGAACACTGTTGGACAGTATTAATTTGTTTAAAGCAGGGATTCAGATAAAACAGTGGTGCAGAAATGTCAGACAGTTCAGTTGTTATCAGTCATGTTTGCAGAAATAAATACTTTACAGCATAGCGTAGCATTAGAATTCTGGGTTTTCATGGATAGAAAAGCAACTTATTGTTTTACCATCAGTACCTTCACTAAACAAATTATTACAAAAACAAAGATGGGCCATATTTTCAGAGAATCAAATTACATTAGCAGACTAGCTAGGCAAAGCTGGCTAGGCTATCTGACATTGGCTGACTAGAAAAACGTTCATTAAGTAGCTAGGCAAACTGAGATTACCTGGCTAGGCTAACCGACTTTAGCAGGTTAGACAAACTAATATTAACTAGCTTAACTAATTGATGTTACCTTGCTAAGCTAACTAATGTTAGCTAGTTAGGCAATCAAACATTAACTAGCTAGGGAAACTTACATTAGCTGGCTAGGCTAATTGACGTTAGCAGGCGAGGCAAACTGATGTTGACTGGCTAGTCTACCTGACGTTGGTTGACTTAGAAAAGTAGCATTAACTAGCTAGCCAAACTAATATTAGCTGGCTTTGCTAGTTATGTCAACTACATGTTAATAACTCACATCACTGAACAGATCAGAGACAACTTAACAAAACATTTAGTGCCAAACTGGTTTCATCTACATGAGTGGAGATAAATCATTGAACAAATACTGATGTAATGAATGTTAGCTGATGTTAGCTAACTAGCTAAACCCCTTGCATGTTTCCATGAAGACAGTGGGTGACTCTGTACTGGTGAAGGTGTCTGGACTACAGCACTGGTACACAGTTCTGATCACAGGTGTAATAAACTCACAGTGTACTGTGATGTTCAGAGGTTCTGATGTTCCCACTTGTGGTTGATGGAGCTGCTCCAGCTTCAGTAGAGCTGCACACTGATACTGGACTCCATCTTCATCACGGCTGGCCAAGACATTCAGTGTGGCCGTCACATCCACGCTCTTTCTCTCCTCTCCAGAAGAGCTGAAACTTCCATATGACATTTCAGTGACTGTTCTGTTTTTATTCTGGTCCACTCTGGTCCACTGTACAGTAAGGTTCTGTAAGGGACCCACATTCTTAATCTCACACTTCAGCTTCATCATCTGACCTTCTGACCACACGCTGGACTCAGAGCTGATCTTCACACTGTCTGGATGCCCTGCAGAGAGAGACAACACATACAAACAAAACGTGTAGGGGGCGATATGACTCCTACTGTTTCATTTAAAAAGCTCTATAATGTTCATATGATCCACACAGTCACTCTGACAGACTGTAATACACTACAGGAAGTGTAGGGGGCGATATGGCTTCTACTGTTTCATTTAAAAAGCTCTATAATGTTCATATGATCCACACAGTCATTCTGACAGACTGTAATACACTACAGGGAGTGTAGGGGGCGATATGACTTCTACTGTTTCATTTAAAAAGCTCTATAATGTTCATATGATCCACACAGTCACTCTGACAGACTGTAATACACTACAGGAAGTGTAGGGGGCGATATGGCTTCTACTGTTTCATTTAAAAAGCCTCCATAATGTTCATATAAGCATACATGTTTGCTTGGCAGCAATAACATTTCTTGGTGGATGATTTTTTTTTGTGATTATTAATAATCAGTGAAATTATTTATTGAAAAGGTAAGTATTTTGATGAAAAGTATGTTTTTTGATTGTTGCTGTGTTATAAAACCAATAAAGATCAGTTCTGTGTTTGGAGCATAAATTCACAGTAAACTCTGTGATCAGAGAGAGGATCTGTGTAAGGCAGTGAGTGGAAAGAGGAAAAGCAGCTTTCAGCATTTCAGCACTGCAGTACTGAGGAAACTGAACAGGTGGGATTACTGTACTCACTGTAAAGACTCAGATGGACCCTCTTTTTACATTGTTCTTTATTCAGCTCTGACAGGAAACAGAACATCTCCCTTCCGTTCACCTCCCACTCTGTCAGACCGGGTGATCTCCACGTCACACTGGTCTCATTCTCTGTTTCGACAGGATTAATCTGAGCCTCCCAGCCCAGCTTGTACTCTGATGAAGGTTTGGTTGGTATGGAGCAGGTGAGATTAACAGGTTCTCCGTACTCCACCAGCAGGGAATCATGGGAAACAGTGAGTGGTGTTGAACAGCTGTCTGTTAAACAAAATATGAAGCACAAAAACACCGTTAAACACCAATATGTCATCATGTGTACATCCACAACACCAACACAGCAGAGGTGATTATAGATGGATGTATTTTAGACTAGTTTGGTATCAACCTCTACAAAATCGTTGGCAAAATTTTATGAATGGCCCAAGAGACATGGTTCAAAATCTTGGAAAAAAATCTTGTTATATTGACTTTCCTTACAATTTAACTAAAGTTACAGTTTTGGAGATACAAGGTTTACAGCAACGATAATAAAATGATATATAAAACAGAATTGAAAATCAATATTTATGTAGGTTAAGAACACAGTCACTCTTAAGCTTTAAACGGGAGCGTGGAAGAGCCAGAAGTAACTGATCTGAAGTCCTCAGAGACCTGGGAGCAGAGTAAGGGTGGATCAAGTCCAGTAAGATCTTTAAATGTTAATAAACAAACCTTAAACTGGACCATTTAATGGAGCCAGCGCACCGAGGCTGAGAACTGGCCTTTCTACCAGCCACATTCTGCATTCATTAAAAATGAGTCATTGATGGTAAATGTACAGAGTACAAATTAATAAATACAGTTCTGGCACTGGTTTGATTTGTGAAATTTAATAATAATAATAATAATAATAATAATAATAATAATAATAATCATACCGGTGGGGCCAAAGTACTGTATTTGTGGTGGGTGAGAAGACAAAAAGACAAAACATTATATGAATAAAGAAATTAGGTTTCAAAAGGATTTTTTTTAAAAATCTGTTTTATAACATGATGCTACATTTGCTACTGAAATACAAATAGAATTTTACAAGGAAAAAATTAATAATAATGTAATATTTGGCATAAAAATATGTTTGTCCTCTTATTGGGTGAAGAGCTGAGGTTAGGGTAACTTTCTCACAGGCCAATTTTTTACTTCTGAATATGATTCCGGTTTCAAGTTCAAGTTCAATAGGCCTTTTTGTCATTTCAGCTCTAGACAAGTACACAGTGAAACAAAACAACATTCCTCCAGGACCAACACAGAACACAAGACAATACAATAAACACAGTGCAGACAATACAGTACAATAAATAAATATGAAAGACTTACAGTAAATACAGAACAGAGCACAGGCAGCACACGGTACTGAGAGTGTGTGGAGCTGTGCAGAGGAGGGTGTAACACACTATGACACATTAGCAGCTTAGCAGAGAGCCTAGCATATAAGAGCATAGCAGTCACTGAGGCAGCAACAAGAGCAGCAATGGAATAGAGTATTTGGTTGAAACAGTAATTCTAGCAGCTAACATTGTTGAAGTGAAGTAAAATGTGCAAAAATGTAAGTATTCAGATCTACAGTCATATCAAGTGAAGTATTTCAGTGAAATGCAGTAATTATATTTAAATATAGTGTTCCAGACATCATTTGCACAAGAATCTGGCCCAGAGTCAAATTCTGATTCTGGTTCTGACACACAGAATTGAAATCAGATTGAGAGCCAGTGTGATGAAAGAGTTTCTGGCTCACAGAATCAGAATTAAACTATGATTCACATTCTGACTCAGAGAAATCAAATAGTTTCTGGAATGCAGAATCAAATTCAAAGTTTTAGTATGATTCTTATCCTTATAAGGGCCGTCAGATCTTCCAGATTTTCTGATATGTCTTTCATGTCATCTGAATACTGAAGGTTGTTGATGTTTTTGCACCAATCCTGAATTGTCAATGATCTTCTTTCAGTCCTGCTTCTCATTTTCTGTTCAGCTTACCAACAGTACTGGTGAGAAAATCCCTTTTTTCTTTTTTTTAACAAGAATTTAACTTGTACACATGCCAAACACAACAACTTTGTGAAACAGAATGCTAGATTATAGATAATGGATTATAGGTGACTTACATATTGTGCCTCACAGAAATGATCACCGATCTCACACTTAGTGAAAAAGCCAAGTATATGAGGTGCAATGTATGGAAATAATTCAAACACAAAGAAGACAGATTTGTATAACAGTCTAATTTGTTAGACATGTACACTCAAACCCTGAAGTTCAGAAATCATGCTTTGCTCTCCAGGAAACAAAAAGAGTGGATTTAAAAGGACATTTTTAATAATCTGTACACTGAAAATAAAAGCTCTTAAAGTAACACACAGAGGAAGAAGTGATCAGTGTAGAATGATCTAGTACATTGAATCAAATGCAATATAGTTAAAAACTCCACTGCTCTCTTTGGACTTTTCCTTATTTGCCTCATTTAATGACATCCTGTTGTTTAACATGCCAAAGTCAAAAGATCAGTCTAAACATTAAAAACATTTATTTATGCACTTTTTAAACGTCAGGCTACAAAGCACTTCACAACAGTAAGATAAAGATGATTAAATAATAATATGAAACAAATAAATCCAAAGACGGAAACAGAGAACATCAGCTCCAACCTCAAAGGCTCAGGCATACAGATGTGTCTTAAGCCTTTTTTAAACATCTACTGTCTAAGCACAGGGTAATACAGAGTGTAGCAGCAGATACTGAAAACCACAGTCTCCCTTTCATTTTCGCTTTGTCCTGGGACTAATCAAAACCTTGACTAGAGAACCTCAGAGTCCTAGCATTTGAATATGGCACTAATAGCTCAGAGATATATTTTAGTTCTGACTCAAAAATTATGCCCAAATTTCTAGGACAAAGATTTGTCTTTGTGGCCAGTGAACCAAGCTGCTGGCAACATTTTGGGGGCCCAGAACCAGAACTTCGACACCGGTGTGTGTGTATTCCACATACACTCCCAGCATGACCACAAGCAAGGACAGAACACACACTGTCATCCTGAACCAACTCCAGAGCTCCACAGAGTGGAGAAAAGAGAAAGTAACAAACACATCAGATTCCACAAATACAAATACAGCCTCCTAACTGACCACTCCTCTCTCACTTCCTCCCTTTATCTGACTGGCACACTCAGAACCAGATTCCTGTGTGTCTCTGTGTGTGTGTGTGTGTGTGTCTCTGTGTGTGTGTGTGTGTGTGTGTGTCTCTGTGTGTGTGTGTGTGGTGTGTGTGTGTGTGTGTGTGAATGCTGTCGCTGTTCATTCTGAGTGGCTCATAACTGAATCAGCCATCCTGCTTTTAATAATGTATAAGTGCTAACAGTCCCTAAAAACTGGCACTACCAATAGTGAAAGAGCCAAAGACTGACACTGGCAAGACTAAGAGTGGTAATGACTGGCACTGCTAAGAGTAAAAACCCTAAAGAAGGGCATTACCAATCGTACGATTCCTAAAGTCCAACACTGCCAAGAATAAGAGCCATAAAGACTGTCACTACCAGCAGTGAGAGCCCTATAGGCTGACACTTCTAAAACTAAGAGCCATAAAGTCTGGAAGGAACAGCAGCATGAAGATCACAAATAGACACAGAATGTATCCACTAGTTTCAGTCAAAGGTCAGTTATATTTAGCCCTTAGCTGATATGAAACAACCCAGTGCCACCCCCCGCAACACACTCCATGTGTACTCACCAGTGTGTGTGTATTCCACATACACTCCCAGCATGACAACAAATATGAACAGAACACACACTGTCATCCTGAACCAACTCCAGAACTCAACAGAGTAGAAGAGAGAAAGTAACATCAAACATACAGCCCCCAACTGACCACTCCCCACTCACTTCCTCTCTTTATCTGACCGGCACACCCAGAACCAGATTCCTGTGTGATGGACTGATAAAACTCAGTCATTTCTGGGGTGAGCTGAAGTGATGATGATCCACTGGGAAAGGTTGGCATGATGGATCTCCACTGAACATTTTGGGGTGAATTGGATTGATGACACTCCACCTTAAACATCAGGCATTAGATTTTTGTCATCTTCAAAGTCTTGTTTTCCCGTAAGCCTGACATCATTAACCCAAGTGAAAAGCAAACATAGAAAAACATACATTACTGAGGACTTTTATGGATTTAAAAGCATCTCATGTCTCTGCAGGCAGAACCTCAGCTCTACACTTCTACACAAAGCAGTTTCACAGGTACTGTATTTACTTCTTTTCAAATTCATTAAAAAGGTTTATTAAAATAAACAATCCTTTGGGAAGCTTTGATAGCGAGCCACAGGTGATTCTTTCCCAGACAGCAAGCATGTTTGGGCCGGATTACCTTAGCCGTCACAAAATCCTCCTGGCAGCCGCATCTGCACTGTGGACCTGTGACACATGTGGGCCAAGTAACTGTTGATGGCACTAGACACTGACTAGACTCGTTTAAAATTTGCCCCTCCCCTGTTTTCCCCGCTCAGTCCTCTGCAGTTTCAGTCGACTTTGATGTGTGAAGTTTGCTGCTGAATTTTGAGGTAAGTTATAGTTTGTATTTTAAATATTTGCATATTTATTAGAATTATGATATCATGGATTTTATTGTTAACCTTTAATATTTTATTCAGTTTGACAAGCAAAGAAGATGAATGGTGGAGTTTCTAGAGGGGGAGGACATCAATGCTAGCTATGTTAGCTGAGGTAGTGAGTCAAAATGTCTAATTCCAATTAAATTAACATTCAAAATTTCTGTTTAATTATCTTTAATAATGGCGTACTCTTAATCTTACATCATCTCCCTCGCCCGGCTGTGTAACTAGCTAGCTAATTAGCTGGGTTGTACTGTGGGAGGTAACTGTTAGCATTCATTGGAGAATGTGAAAATGTTCTAAGAGCATTTTAATATTTCTGCCTGTTTTAGGAAAAAATCTAACAAGTCTAAAGAAAAGAGAGAAAAGAATTTGAGTGACCGATGTAAGAAACATCCATTAGCTGGAATCTAAAGTTAACCTGCTAGCTAGCTATCTGTCTATCTAGTTAGCTAAGCTGTATTAACCAGTACAAGTAACGTTACTAATGTTAGTGTAACCATCTTATTTTATAATGTGTTTTTTTGTGGTGTTGGATTTTACTTTTTTTCCACTTAAAGTATTTGTAAAATCTACAGTAACACAACAAAATCAAACTGAAGCTGCTGAAATAACATAAACCAGTAACAGAATCCTGATATTTGGTTTAAAGTGTGTAAATAACCCACCTAAACAGTCAAAACCAGTTTCCTTTTGCTTCATCTTTTGTTTGACAAAGCTTCAACGAGCACACTGCTCCTCCCGCTTACTGGTCTGTCTCAAAATTCTCAAAATTATTAAAAGAAAGTGTTTCTGTAATCATTATAAGCATTATTCTTATTGTCTCTGTATGTACATATAAAATATATGTTCAGAAGCACCAGCAGAAGTATTTACAGCTACTACTACTAGTAATAATAATAGCTTCACTTGTTTCGTCTTGTAATTTTGAGATGGTCTCTGACTCTAATGCAGACGCGGGCGAGCACAGTGATGGCGTGAGCTGAACCTTTTGGCAAAAATAAAAGAATAGAAAAAGGAACAAGAAACGAACAGCGCGGTTCAGTACAGACTGGGTTTGTGGTGTTTCTCATCTTTAATTTGGCCATGAAAGTGTAATTAATCCAATAACACAGAACGTAACTGCGAATGTCACACGAACTGTACCGTCCGATGTGGTGTGTGTAGCCTGATTGGGTGAAAGCTGAGACATGGCCGTGGTGGTCTGAGGTGGTCCTAAAACGGTCACAGTAACGCAGCCGGTGTTTTTAAACGTACATGCAGCACCGAGCACGTTTAACTACCGCAGCTCGGTAATGTTGACGTGTCGGAATACTGTTTAACGCTGTGGTTTGCATTAAATAAACTAAAGGAACGTGTTTTACCGTCATTATGGGTCGTTACTGCGGCAGCTCGGTAACTCTTACCCGATATATAAAACGGACGCGCCTAATTAAAAAACAGTCCCCTTTCTTTTTTCCTGCTCAGCGGTCCACAGTCATCCTTGATATTGATCTGTAAAGTTTGCTGCTGACTTTGAGGTGAGTTAATCCTCACATTCAGTATCTGCACATATGTGATCAGGTATCACAAATTATTACATTTGTTTATTGTTTAATTTATTTTTTAAATATTTTTTTCAATTTGACAATCAAATAAGCTTAATGGTAGAGGAGTACAGACAATTTTAGTTCTGTTAAGACAAATTAACATTAGAGTCATAGCTTTGATTATCTTTAAGTTCAAACAAATTTTGCCTCTCCTGCAGGGCCGGCCTCCTACACCTCTGCGCCGGGGCCGGCCTCCTACACCTCTGCGCCGGGGCCGACCTCCTACACCTCTTCCAATGTTCTTCTTCTAAGGTTTCTCCCAGCCTTTGAGAGTTTCACGACCATTCAGTTCACCTTTCAGCCGTCGACCACAGCAGTGATGAACTGTAGCAAAAGTAAGAATTTGTAATTTGAATTCCAGCATTTAAATTAGAGCCCAGCAAATATGAAAATTGTGACTGATACCAATAATGATTGTTAAGATGTTAGAAATTATGTTAACCCTTAACAATAGTGGCTGGCATTATTTTAGATTGTAATATTTTATATTGTATTGTTTTATATTCCAATTCAATTTAGTTGAGCTGTGCTTCACTAATACAAGCGTCACTTCTCAATGGTCACACCTCTTAAACCACATCTGGATTCAGTGTGATAACAAATAACTGGAATCTGTGTGTAATAACAAAATCATGAAAGTTCAGTTTCCCTGTCCATGATCCTGTTGTGTACTTCCAAAAAAAATGTTTTTTGTTGATTCTCATTAACAGCTGCCAGAACTTGAAGAGTGGGAGGAAATGAAGAAGCTAAGAGAAGCTCAGATTTGAAGTTTAAAGCTCTCTTTTCACAGAAGAGTTTATCAAACTGTTTCAACTAACAAGTAAAAGCAAATAAGCTGATATTACCAGTGAGCCAGCTGGCCAGTCAGTTTGCTGGACCTAACATTAGCTAGCTATCGAAGTCTGTTTACGTGTGACATCCGCTTGAGAGATTGGTAAAGAAATCTGCACTCTTTCCAGAAACTTCCTATGTTGACACAATTCAAAATCAATCGAACTGCAGTTGGGTTGTTTTGACTCAGTAAACATAACTCAATAAAATACAGCTTTTTTTCCAAAATGAAACTTTATTGATTTTTTTATTTAAATTTTGTTTTTTGTCAAAACCAGATAACTCCAATGGTCATTTCATGTTTCAGCATTAATCAAAAGTCAATATTTATCATTCTTTACCATTAAACAAGCTTGGAAAGAGCTGAAAACTGGACACATCAATGGTCAATATTAATCATCTATAAGATCAGAGCTCAAAAAATCTCAGACAGCTCACTGCTTCTTATATAGTCACTATGTGAGTTAAGAAATTTAGTCTGTTTAGATCAGTAGCCATTAGTTTAAGACCTGCGTGCTGCTCTTTGTAGGGAGATGGAGCCGTTTGAGCCGTTGGTTCTGCTGGAGAACAGCGCTGGTGTTTGACCGTTTCTGCTGTAAAACATGAACTTGCAATGTCTTGACGATGAACAATAATGGCTTTAGTGGCTAAATGTGTTTAGGGTTCAGAATGAGTGTTAGAATAACTCACCACAGACAGCTTGATTTTAAAGAATGGAGTTTATCGGTTTTGCGAATGAACTCTTCAATTTCAAGTTTTGCAGCCATATCCTGTCATGGGATATGCTTAAGGAGTAAACCCATGCAAAAGAAATATGGAGATGGAGTCCCTAAGGCAGTTTGATGTTATCACCCTCACTCGGGCAAATCCTGCGACAACACTGGTGCCATGCTGTACTGTCTTTCCCTTGTACTAGGGAGAGGGGGAACCCTTTTGCTGGTTTCCTGAAAGGGCTTGCAGCCTGGAGAGAACATTCCAGTATCACTTTCTCACTGCTGATACCACACGGGAAGCAGCAGTTTACCTGTGAAAAGCCTTTACTCGATTGGCTTAGAACGGGGTGCTGGGGTTGCTTCTGATTGTGGGAGAGGTCATTGGGCTGCTACTGCTTGCCTTAAGCTGGGCAGCCCCCAGTTAAATCAGTGCTGCGTTGCCATGGTACACTTGCTACACTGGCTGTGTGGGGCTCAGGGAACTCTCAGACAACTGCAAGGGTTAAGGGTTAGGGTTAGTCTCAGGGAGACTTCATTGTCCCTGACAAAGGCATTTGACTTTGTCAGCAGAAAAGGACTCTTTGAGATCTTGGCAACGATTGGCTGCCCCCAACTCTGCTTAGCATCATCAGGTCATTCCACATAGACATGAAGGGGACCGTCGGCTCCAAATCCAAGACTTTTGACATTCCCAGCAGGGGAAGCAGGGGTGTGTCTTGACTCCAACAGATGTTCAGCATCTTTTTTACAATTCCGCTTATATATATGTAACGATGTACAATAGTTGTATTAATGTTATGTTATGAAATTCCTGCTAAATGGGTTTGGCACCACCTGCTGCATATTACAGCTCCTATATATCTTGGTGATTCGGTGCAGCCTTGGCAGTAGTGTTTGCATGCTGCCATGGTGAGTACAGCTCGTATGTTCAGCTCAGCAAAACTGCAAATAACTATGTAAAGTGTTGTAATGTTCGACTTTTGTCCCTACTGTCTTGAAATACATGTAATAGAGACCAGTACACCCTGTTGGGCTTTTCCAAAACGCTTTACTTAGAGTTATAAATTCGAAGCTAAACCTGAACTGAACTGTGCTAACGTTAGCCTGTTTCTTTAGTTGTATGCTGGCCGAAGCACGAACAGAGACTTAAACTGTGGTTGCCATACTCATTACAGGTATGTTATATTCATGTTTTAAGGTGTTTTAGAACAGTATCAATGAGCACAGCAACGCTAGCTGGTTTAACTAGCTTATTTTTGCACCATGTGGTCTGGATGCCATATTTTGTGTTCGTCAGCAGATGGCATTATTTCATATTTTACATTTTTGTTGATGTTTCACTAATTAAAAAAGGATGATGTAGCTATAAAATATAATTCATATTGACACTGATGGAAATGTAAAATGTAGACTGAATCTAAAAACTGAGCGTAATATGGAAACACAAGCACTTTCACCACTATACGATCATAGCAATCTGTAAAGGTAATTGTAGTATTTTCATGAATGTATATTTCTCATGTCATTGGTTCATTTTGGAAATATATTTGGACCAATGTATTCTTTGGGCAGTAGAGTGTTTGCATGCTGCCGTGTTGTATGCTGGCCGAAGCATGAACAGAGACTTAAACTGTGCTTGCCATACTTATTACAGGCAAATAAAACTGCATCATTCGAACTCGGTGTCCATCATTGACCAGGGCGGACGAACACCCGATAAGAAGGGTCACATATACGCCCTTGGAACTGCATTGGTATCTTTTAGCGCACAAGATCAGATGATGATCTCTTCAAGCTGTTGAGACTCAGAGTGAACACCAATGCTCTGACGAAATCAGAGATTTCCTTTTTTCTGACGATGCAGCTGTCACGACTCACACCCAGCTGGAGCTACAGTCGGTCATGACCCGCTTTGCGTAATAACAGCAGTCACTGACGTTCATGGTTTTCATGGTTGTTTTGCTATCCAGTGTCAACCAGAGGAAGATGAGTTCCTCTTTTTGAGTCTCGGTTCCTCTCAGGGGTTCTTCCTCTTGCTCTTAGGCAGTTTTTCTTGGTGACACTCATGGGGGCTCAGACCTGTATTTTTCTGTAAAACTGCTTGGTGAATAAAGGCACTGTATACATAAAGCACTATATAAAAACTTTGATTGACTTGACCCTTCATTCTGAGATTTCATGGTTTGATCCATATTGAAGATCCTGGTGTGAATGACCATGCCGAGTTACAGTGGCAATACTGTGGTCTTTACTCATGTAGAAAATCCTCATAGCATGTATGTATTATACAGATGTTTTATTATTTACCTTGTGTAGGCTAAACATCTATCTAACTTAAAAGAGGGGTACTGATATAAGGCCTTTTTAAAAATGAGGCGAACTGAAGTAGGATGCACTGCTTAGGGGGCGGGTTAACACATTTGATTGACAAGTAGGTAAAGATGACTGATTTGGGGAATTATAAAAGAGAGAGATGACATGTAAAAACATGTAAAAACTGACATTATAGTAAATAGAAAACTGCAGGTTCATCAGAGAGATGCGTTGCTCCACTCATTCTGATGTAACATCAGATGTAGTCATTAAGCCGAGACTAAATTTACAAACACTTCTGTTAGATGATGTTAGGTGACATGTGGCCTAAAAGTTATACCAAGAAAGGTAATCAGTTTAACATTTTTGAAGAAATTAACAAAAAGAAAAGGAAGTCTAGTTTGTTTAGTTTGTGCAAATAGCCTCAAGCCACTCCTACCAGCCACCAGCTGGACAGCAGATTTTCCAGCATTGCAATGCTAATGAATCCTTAGTGGCCTTGAAACCTAGGAAAAATTGATTGATGATTTTTTTTATTCTTGTATTTTGTTATTCGGTTATGAGGCTCTTCTCTGGATCCTCTGTGACATTTTAAAATTTTGAAAAAAAATTTATTGTTAATTAGTAAATGTAAATGCATTTCATAACAAAACACCAAACGTACTTGAGAAGAAATTTCCTCTTAAACCCACTTAGGCAGTTTTGATGAAGATTCTGTCATTCACCAGCATTTTCTTATGTGGGATTTGTTCTTAGGTAAGAACAGAATCTACACACAGTCAAGAGCACAAAGGTGAGAACAGCTCAACGCTTTAAGAACGAAGTTCAGTGCCATTAATTCACTTATTTTATTTGCTGTCAAAATGAGCTAAACTGATTTATTTTCTGAGGATCTCCAGGTGTGAATGTCATTCCCATTCTCCTTAAAAAAGCCAGGAACACCGGTCACATTAGGTGAACAGTTGATCTGTGTTAGTGATGTACAGAGAAACATTTCAAGCTCTGTGCAGCTTCACAACCTTCTGTCTCATTTGAGTTGCTTTTACCTATGTTGATGGATAACAGAGGGAGTTTTCATGAGTTTATTTAGGGTGTTTTAAGTTGGGGTGCTAAAGTTTTAAGCAGCGGATATGTGACATGACCGATGACATGCAAAATGATTTGCCTTTTGACCTCAATCAGCTGAATTTGCATGGAGGTGGTTAATAGGAAGCTCTACAGTTTCAGAAGAAGCTCATGAACGCAGCATGAACATATATTAGCATTAGCTACAGCTGCCACGTTGGCGTTGTGTCTACGAGACGTAAAACTCTAAGTGAAACCACTATTCACTGAACAGGTTCACGTTCATGTTCACATGAGAGCAGATTAGCATCAGTTGACTCTGATCCACATCTCTGTGGACCACGTTGGCATTGTGTGTATATGATGTCAGGTTCTTCAGGATGTATTGGCACTGTGGGTGCATCAGTAACGCTCGTACAACCAAAAGGAGACCACAGTTACCAGCAACACCCCACCAACCACAGCAAAGACAGCGATGATCGGCTTGTAGTCCACTGATGAAGACAAGAGGGAAAACAACATCAGCTTTCAATTTCACAGATTAGATCTACACATACAGCGTTTACATGATCTTCACACTCACCTACCAGGTTAACCATCACAGTCACTGAATCAGAGCCTTCATCATTGTAGGCAGTGCAGATGTATTGACCCTGATCTTCTGACTGGATGCTGCTGATCATGAGGATGGAGGACACTGTCATGATGTTTCCAGGTGAGTTCCAGGTATACTGAGGACTGGGGTTACCATGTGCTGAACAGCTCAGCGTCAGGCTGTCGCCCTCAGTTACAGATAAGGTACCATCAGAAGGTTGTGTTATGATGGGCTTGTCTGATGAGAAACAGAGAGAACACTGTTGGACAGAGATTGTTTTAAAAGGAATTCAGATAAAACAGTGGTGCAGAAATCTCAGACGGTTCAGTTGTAGTCATACATTGCACAGACACTTTTATAGACATAAACATTAGTTTAAGGCAGTATTTTATTATATATTATTATTATTATTATTATATTTTTTACCTTAGCATCTCAGTGTCCTGCTCACTTATTGGGCTGGTCAAAATGTTCAGTACAACCAATCAAAACATCTGTTTTCTTAATGAACTGATCTCAGCCGCTCGTCCCACAATCTCACAATCTGCTCCAGTTTTTCTTTTCAGTGTCTCAGAGTCAGTGTTGCAGGCAAATGATGTCAGAATTTTTTATATGATTTTTACTCTATTAATACTTTTATTTACCACTTTCTCAGCCATCTGAGTAAATACAGTCTTTGCTGGGCTTTCCTGAAGATGTTTAGATCCCATTTAATGAGCTGCTGATTGTTGTTTTGCAGGAATTTGAATGAGTCTAATTGTTATTGGTTGATTACCAAATCAAATGGGTTTTTTGTAATTCTGGGATTTTCAAAATATACTAGTAGGTCCTTTGTTTTGCAGCTGTAGATGAGGTTCTTGTTCTCATGTCACAGCATTTGTCACCTTTTGCTGGTACGATGATTTTCCAAAAGTTCATTTCCTCAGGCCAGTCCAGTGATGGTAGTGTCATCAGCTAAATCGAACAAACTTGATGGAACTGCTTTAACTGATTTGTCGCTTTGTGAAGGACAGAGAAAAATGCCTAGATTTGTTCTTGCGCTGAGTGACAGCACCTGGAATGCTTGTATTATTGACCTTGACAACCTGTGTTCTGTTGTTAAGGGTTGAACACACCTTCATTAGTCTGAGGAACAGTTTTGTAGGGTTAATTAAGTCTAAGAATAGTATGTGGGCATAAGAGAGAGACAAAGAACAGAATGAAGTGCAAAGTTGACCGTGTGGTGGTGTATTTTGTTCTTTCTTTAATTATTGTTATTCCTTTCTAGTTAAAATTGCAGAGCTCACCAATGACTGATCACATAGCTAGCAGATATCTCCCTCAACTATTGGATACACACATATTTGGTCATGTGTTTCCTTGCTTACAACAGAATGTCACTTGCATGTGTTTCCTGACTACTGATTCCAAAAGTCAACATCTGAAGTGTGTAAAACATCTTGAAAATTTTGGAAACAAGTGTTGTAGACTGATGATGTTAAACCATAGCATCCCGTTACTGGCTCAGGCAGCCACGGATGCGTGGAAGTTGTGGCCACACGGAGTGGCCAAGTGCAAAGTTTCATGGGAGGTTGCAGTAAGACAAAGACTTTAAAATTGTAAATAGTTGTGACTGTGTAAAAATTATTAGGCAGTGGTGTTGCTGGTGTGAACTGTGTCCATGGAGGGTACGTTTTTTTTTGAGTGGGCCACCCTCCACATTTGTCCTATTTGTATCCTCAGCGTTACCCTGGGCCTAAATGTGTTGGGGTAAGCACAGAGCAATGGTTTTCTCCTGCTGCTGTGTTCTAATAAAAGAGCATTCGCTTAAAGCTCTGTTTCCCACGCCAACACCAAAGTATGTTTAGAGAAAAACAGAGCAGCATTTGATGAAAGCAACACTGTGCTAACTGTTAAACATGGGGGTGGATCCATTATGCATAGGAGTTGTGTTGCAGGCAGTGGCTCAGGAAACATTGTATGAGTCAATAGCCACTTTCACATGCAGCCTGATAATCCATTAATAATCCGACTAATAGCTCAATCGGAATAGAACACGTCCATGTAAACACTATTCCGACTAGACTAGACTATTCCGATTGAGGCCATTCGGAATACAATTTCTATCCGATTGAACGAGGTGGGTAAACCTCTAAATAATCCGTTAAATAGAAGAATAATAGCCATGTAAACACCTGAATCCGATTACATTCCAATCGGAACGTGTAAGTATGTTCTGCGCATTTGCATCGCGTCATAGCGAAAGTTTATACCATTCAGCATGGCGGAGCAGAAACTGGCCTACAGAGGAGACGAAGTTTATGCTCTGGTCTTTAAAAGACGGCGGTGGGACGGACGTCCAGCTTATGTGTCTCAGAACACGACGTCTTCCTCTCGGCCTTCTTTAATAAGGACATGTGAAGGACGTTTTCCTGAGTCTGACATCATTTTAAAGCACTTAAAAACACAAGCACTGCTCACTGCTGCTCATCTCACTCTGACTGGACTCATGGTAACGTTTACTCTAAGCGCTACTCCACACATGCGCGTCATTTTGCATCGGATTACTTGTAGTGAGTATGTAAACGAAGATTTTCCATCAAATTGTTGAGTAGAGTGTGCATATGAACACCTCAGTCTGAATCGGATTGGCAAAAATCTTTGCATGTAAACATAGCCAGTGAAGAATGGATTACACTAAATATTTACAAATCTGGAGAAAAGTGTGTTGCAGTCAGTCAAGAAACTGAAGCTGAAAAGGGGCAGGACACTGATCCCAAACATCTCAAAATCCTACTACTTCAAGAAAGACAAGCTGAAGCTTTCAGAACGGCCTTCACAGTTTTCTGACCTGAACATCACTGAAGGTCTGTAGGGAGATCTGAAACATGCTGTGCATGCAAGAATACCACAGAATTAGAATCACTCTCTGAGTAAGAGTGAGTGAGAATTCTTAAATCAGGAACAGAAAGACCCTTAGCTGGATACAAAAAGCATCTGCAAGCTGTGTTATGAGCCAAAAGGGGTGAATACTAACTTAGTAGAGTACCCAAACTTTTGCACATGCTGGTAACTACTGACTCTTAATTAGTTAATCAAATAAAAAGTAGAAGTGCTTTAACATTTGCAGAAAAATATTATTTTAAATACAGTTTGCAGCAGAAAAGTCGACAAAATATTTTGTTTGACCAGTGGTGCTCAAACTTTCGTATACGACTGTATGTTAGATGTAATAAACTCACAGTGTACTGTGATGTTCAGAGGTTCTGATGTTCCCACTTGTGGTTGTTGGAGCTGCTCCAGCTTCAGTAGAGCTGCACACTGATACTGGACTCCATCTTCATCACGGCTGGCCAAGACATTCAGTGTGGCCGTCGCATTCCCGCTCTTTCTCTCCTCTCCAGAAGAGCTGAAACTTCCGTATGTCATTTCAGTGACTGTTCTGTTTTTGTTCTGGTCCACTCTGGTCCACTGTACAGTAAGGTTCTGTAAGGGACCCACATTCTTAATCTCACACTTCAGCTTCATCATCTGACCTTCCGACCACACGCTGGACTCAGAGCTGATCTTCACACTGTCTGGAGGCTCTGAAAAGAAAGACAACACATATAAACATTCGGAATGACTGTGTGGATCATATGAACGTTATAGAGCTTTTTAAATGAAACAGTAGAAGCCGTATCGCCCCCTACACTTCCTGTAGTGTATTACAGTCTGTCAGAGTGACTGTGTGGATCATATGAACGTTATAGAGGCTTTTTAAATGAAACAGTAGAAGCCATATCGCCCCCTAAACTTCCTGTAGTGTATTACAGTCTGTCAGAGTGACTGTGTGGATCATATGAACGTTATAGAGCTTTTTAAATGAAACAGTAGAAGCCGTATCGCCCCCTACACTTCCTGTAGTGTATTACAGTCTGTCAGAGTGACTGTGTGGATCATATGAACGTTATAGAGCTTTTTAAATGAAACAGTAGAAGCCGTATCGCCCCCTAAACTTCCTGTAGTGTATTACAGTCTGTCAGAGTGACTGTGTGGATCATATGAACATTATAGAGCTTTTTAAATGAAACAGTAGAAGCCATATCGCCCCCTACACTTCCTGTAGTGTATTACAGTCTGTCAGAGTGACTGTGTGGATCATATGAACATTATAGAGCACTTTTTAAATGAAACAGTAGAAGCCATATCGCCCCCTACACTTCCTGTAGTGTATTACAGTCTGTCAGAATGACTGTGTGGATCATATGAACATTATAGAGCTTTTTAAATGAAACAGTAGAAGCCATATCGCCCCCTACACTTCCTGTAGTGTATTACAGTCTGTCAGAGTGACTGTGTGGATCATATGAACGTTATAGAGGCTTTTTAAATTAACAGCTAATGTTAGTTAATTAATGTTAGCTGTTGAGTGAACCATACATTCCCTCCAAAGAACACAATTAGAGGTTGGCAATATGATGATATTTTACTGTGATTGTGATAAATTCTGTTATTGTAAACAGCTGGTTTCTGGAGTACATCCAGATATTGTAAGTGTTTAAAGAACACTGATAAACAGCATGTTTGTTTAAAAAGAGATCACAATTAGTGCTGTTTAATTAGATTTACTGCAGTTCAGTATGTAAAACATTAAATAAAAATCATTGTACTGGGTGTTTTTGATGCCAGTTTTTCAGTGTGCCAGTACAAGTGCATTGTGAATGTATGTCAGAATATCCTGATATTACAGTCCAGCTTTAGAGTGATAAATAATGATGCAAGGTGCCAAAGTAGTCTTATCTAGAATTATCTAGACCCTTGAATAAGGGAGACATATTTGAAGGGGGGGGGGTATTTTATCGGATAAAATGTGAATTTCTTTGACAAAATGAAAACTCTCACATGAGGTGACCATCTTTTTTCTATGTTTCTATGTTTCTATGTTCAGCATTAGACTCTGCCCCCCCTGGATAAACTTAAACTCTAATCCATAACACAACCACACAATCTAGAGCACTGAGCGGCATCACACCTGCTTAAACCTGAAGATCGAAGCTGTCAAACTGCAGAGAACCTTTAGATAACTTTGACTTTGAGCAGGCAACAGTCGTTAACAGAGAAAATGATTGCTGTTAGCAGCCACGACATACACCAATAAATATGATTCATGATTTTGTTAGCAAACAGTTTGTATTTTTCGGCTGAACGAGAACAGACGATCAATAACATTCACAATGTTGAAGTGTAAAAGAGATTTTTATTGATGTAGATGTGAAGGTAACAGACTACTGCCTAATAGTACTTTTGAATAGAGTACCTGTGTCAACCCCACAAAAACAAATTGTGAAAATGGCACTCGTTAATATAACCATAGCCAGAGTTTCCACCATGTGACCCCGCAAAGATCTCAATTTGATTAGTGATTACTGTACTCACTGTAAAGGCTCAGATGGACCCTCTTTTTACATTGTTCTTTATTCGGCTCTGACAGGAAACAGAACAACTCTCTTCCGTTCACCTCCCACTCTGTCAGACTGGGCGATCTCCACATCACACTGGTCTCATTCTCTATTTCGACAGGATTAATCTGAGACTCCATGCCCAGCTTGTACTGTGATGAAGGTTTGGTTGGTATGGAGCAGGTGAGTTCAACAGGTTCTCCGTACTCCACCAGCAGGGAATCATGGGAAACAGTGAGTGTTGAACAGCTGTCTGTTAACGGAAACATGAAGCAAAAAACACAGTTATGCCATCATGTGTACAACGACCATCACAAAACACATTTTTTGATAAGTAAACATTTTTCAAAGTAACTCCTGTCTGGTGTTTGGTACTGAAGCATGTTTGTGTATTAAAGTCTATATGTTAACCCACTTCTGTAATTCTTTGTACAGAGGAATTATACATTAACTGTCTTGTAGAATTTGCTGTTTTTTCTGTTTCTCCCTGGATGTGTGCGAGTCAAATCTCCTACAGTCTCATGGCATTGTGGGAAATATCAGTGCTCTTTGTGTCCCAACCTAAATCTTCGGCCTCCAGAGTTGTGGACTCATAGACTTAAAGTCCACAGATTTCTGCCAAACCCGGACCATCCTATGGGTTTCATGGGTTCAATGTCCAGGTGCCTGAGGCACTGGGGGTCCCTGAGAGCAACTGTGACAAAATCTAACCATATGTTTTTTGCTTGCAGGGAGAACCTTACTAGCAGCACAAAACACACACACACACCACACACAAAAACTGTAATTAAACAGCTGATCATAATTATTACTCTGTCATTCCTGAACATCTGCTTTTCTCAACACTGCTTAGAGATTTTCCACTATCCGCCATTATCATGGCCAAGCTGTCAGTGATGCAGTGTTCCTGTAGATGTACTTTGAATGTGAAGATGTGAAGCTCTGTATAAATTAAAGATGTGCCTGGGAGAGCTGTAAAAATAAGACTTCATACTCTAACAGAGCTGAGGATGCCCATTTCCAAATCCAAACACTGAATAATGTCAACTCAAGTTAAAGAAAACAGTTGCTGCGTGACTTTTGGTTGTGATCTGTGAAATGTCTCCTTCAAAGTTAGGATAGTACCAATATACCAATGTAGCAGTGTGTTGGATTATGGGGTTGATGACTGCACTGCTGTCAGTAACGGCCTGTAACCTCATATCTTGCCATAGCAGGACACTCTGGGCCAGACTGATAAAACTGGACAGTAACAACGGTTCACCAGGCTAAACGTGTAGAACAGTAAATAAGAGTTCACCACAGCTGTGAATAAAACACTGGAGTCTTTTTAACGCTGCTGTATTTTCACCAGTGTCCAGGAGCCAATCAGAATCCTCAAATAAATAAGTTCATACATTTTAAACACTCATGACGAGGTTGGCTGACTAAATGAAAGAAATGAAAGATAGAAAGAAAAACAAAATTATCAGAAATAGAGCTGTGAATCTTAAGGGTATAAGTGCTGCAAATAACAGTAAATTGTTTGCAAAAGATGTGTACAAAAAAAAAACATGACTTTTACCATTTTTTGCTATAAAAATTACATTTATAAAAATTATGAAAAATATTTTCAATTGTTATATTTTAGCAAGATGTTATTTTGTTATTTAAATAATAATAATAATAATAATAATAATAATAATAATAATAAAGCCTTTTTCCCCCCGATACATTATAATTACAGGAATAACTTTTTCTAAAATAAATTAAGTTTAATATTTGGTACTTTAATTACAATTAAAAATAAGCATAGTGAAATTTTAATTACTATGGTTTTGATTTTATTTTTTTATTTGATTTTTATTGATTTTTCTTGTTCTCAGGAATTCAGTCTGATGCAGTAAAAAGAGACAGGTTTAAATACAGTCAGTTAAATCTGCTGATCTGTGTATGTTTTGTGTTGAAGTTAAGGTTAGTGTTAAATTTAATACTCTTTCATACTTTAGTTGTATTTGATAGATATTTAGCTGAATGTGACTTAAAGACAGACTGAGTATTGACAAAGCATCTACAGAGGGCCATCAAAATAAAGTGTTACTGACTCTTCAATCTACAGACAGCTTAAGCTGTGAGCTCAGGACTGAGAGGAGAGGAAATAAGCTCTTATCTGAGAGGAACCTCTCCGTGGCAGTTGGTGGGAGCTGCTGGTTGCAGTCAGGTGAAGAAATAAGATACCAGCTGTTAAGCTGGAAGGTTTATGGCAGCATTAACTCATCAGCGTTCACTCATCACATACAAAATTCATCACTCGTCACATATAAAATTCATCACTCATCACATATAAAATTTAATTGAAAAATACATTTGAACTTCAGGATTCTTTTCCAAAAAATATTTAAATTGACATTTAACTTATTTTATTATTATGTTTTTAGTGCTGAGGCAGGTTTATAGGCTTAACAAAAAAGTTAACAAAAACAAATGCAAACAACAATAAACATAGAAAACATAAAATCTCTTCTTTTCCTTACAAACACAATGTGGTATGGAGTGAAAGTTTTACAATTTTTTACACTTTCCACACAATTTCTTCACTTGTTTGAAGAAACTACAAATCAGAAATGATTAGAGTAAAAGGGGAAATAAGAGAATTTAGCATATTGTCTATAGGAACCTCCCACACAAATACACAAACATTCTCCATGTGTACTCACCGGTGTTTGTGTTTTGTGTATATTCCACATACACTCCCAGCACAACCACAAATATGAACAGACCCCACACTGTCATCCTGAACCAACTCCAGAAAAAGAAGAAAGAGAAACCAACATCACATAAGGCCCCTTAACTCTCCTGACTCCTCCCTCTTTTTGTTTCTGTAGTATTTCTTCAGTCATGCAAATTATTTCGTGCTGGTGTGGTGAGCAGAACCAAGAGTAAATCCTCTAGAGACTGCCAAAACTAACAGCCATGAAGTCTGGCACAACCAATAGTAACAGCCCTAGAGACCAACACAACCAATAGTGAGAGCCCTAAAGACTGAGACTACCAAGAGTGAGCGCACCTAAAACTGGCACTACTGACAGTAAAAGCCCCAACATCCTCCACACAAATTCAGGCTCTCTTCCTGTCAGTTTTATTAATGTGTGGTTTAAACGCAACCGTCTAAGCGTTGGCCCTGTCATCAGGAGATCGCGAGTTCGATCCCTGGTGATGCTACAGCCGTCCGTAGCCGGGAGTCCAAGAGAGCACAATTGGCCTCGCTCTCTCTGGGTGGGTAGGATGGCCCCCCCTTCTCCCCCCATCACTCAGCGCGATGCTAGTCAGCGCTGGCGTCTGTTAGCTGACGTAACAGATCTGGCGGTTGGCGCTTTCCTCCGAGCGCGTTCGGCTGTCCAGTGACGTTGCGTGAGCGGCAGTTCGAAAAGAAGCGGTGGTTGGCTTCACAGGTCTCGGAGGAAGCCTGTGTTAGCCTTCACCCTCCTAGCGTTGATAGCATCGTGTGATTGGGGGAGTCCTGACTAGCGGGTGGAATTGGAGACGACTAAATTGGGGAGATAATTGGGTAAAAATCCCCCCCAAAGTTAGAAATTTCTTTTGCCTGTAGAGCGAACTGTCCAAGTGTGCTATAAACCTTTTTTCTCTGTGCTTCACTATCGACTACAGATTTCTGTCTTGTCTTTATTATATTTTGAAAAGATATCATTCATCTAATTAAGATGAATTAAGATAAATCAATTTATCTAAAGTAGTACATTAGCATGTCACTATGTGTATATATATAGAGCTGTAAATCATTTGCATAACTATTTAAAAAAAACTGACATGCTTTTTTATATGCTGACATAGTGGCAACATATAAAAATACAAAAGCCTAATAGTAGTTCCAATATCACACTTTTTTCTTTGCTAAAATACAGAACAGAAGTAGTTTACTCACTCATCATCTAAACCACTCATCATCCTGGGTCGCAGGGGAGCTGGAGTCTTTCCCATTGCTCACTGGGCTGAAGGCAGGAAACACCAGGTCGCCAGTCCATCACAGAGCAGATACACAAACACACACAGTCACACATACACTATATTGCCAAAAAGTATTTACTCATCCATCCAAATCACTGAATTCAGGTGTTCCAATCACTTCCATGGCCACAGGTGTATAAAACCAAGCACCTAAGCCTGCAGACTGCTTCTACAGACATTAGTGAAAGAATGGGTCGCTCTCAGGAGCTCAGTGAATTCCAGCGTGGTACCGTGATAGGATGCCACCTGTGCAACAAGTCCAGTCATGAAATTTCCTCACTACTAAATATTCCACAGTCAACTGTCAGTGGGATTATAACAAAGTGGAAGCGATTGGGAACGACAGCAACTCAGCCACAAAGTGGTCGGCCAAGTAAAATGACAGAGCGGGGTCAGCGGATGCTGAGGCGCATAGTGCGCAGAGGTTGCCAACTTTCTGCAGAGTCACTCGCTACAGACCTCCAAACTTCATGTGGCCTTCAGATCAGCTCAAGAACAGCGTAGAGAGCTTCATGGAATGGGTTTCCATGGCCGAGCAGCTGCATCCAAGCCTTACATCACCAAGCGCAATGCAAAGCGTCAAATACAGTGGTGTAAAGTGCCGCCACTGGACTCTAGAGCAGTGGAGACGTTTTCTCTGGAGTGATCGATCACGCTTCTCCGTCTGGCAATCCGATGGACGAGTCTGGGTTTGGTGGCTGCCAGGAGAACGGTACTTGTCTGACTGCATTGTGCCAAGTGTAAAGTTTGGTGGAGGGGGGATTATGGTGTGGGGTTTTTTTCAGGAGTTGGGCTCAGCCCCTTAGTTCCAGTGAAAGGAACTTTTAATGCTTCAGCAGACCAAGAGATTTTGGACAATTTCATGCTCCCAACTTTGTGGGAACAGTTTGGGGACGGCCCCTTCCTGTTCCAACATGACTGCGCACCAGTGCGCAGAGCAAGGTCCATAAAGACATGGATGAGCGAGTTTGGTGTGGAAGAACTTGACTGGCCTGCACAGAGTCCTGACCTCAACCCAATAGAACACCTTTGGGATAAATTAGAGCGGAGACTGCGAGCCAGGCCCTCTCGTCCAACATCAGTTTCTGACCTCACAAATGTGCTTCTGGAAGAATGGTCAAAAATTCCCATAAACACTCCCAAACCTTGTGGAAAGCCTTCCCAGAAGAGTTGAAGCTGTTATAGCTGCAAAGGGTGGCCTGACATCATATTAAACCCTATGGATTAAGAATGGGATGTCACTCAAGTACATATGCGTGTGAAGGCAGCCGAGCGAATACTTTTGGAAATATAGTGTATATAGTCAGTCATCAGCAGGCAAGTTTGGTTGGTCCCAAAAAGGAAAAACAAATTACTGCTGTTTGCTGGACAAACAAGTAAAATTCTGGTCCCATGATAGTTGTGCAAAAACACAGAGGCTAGCGTGAGCATGGCCAATCACATGATCTCTAAAGGCCTAAAATGAAAACTCTTACCAAAAACATGTCTAGAACACTTATTTTTTGTGTTTATAGCTGCTGCTAAATTCAAGTCAAAGGTACCCAAAGTTTCTCAGTAAGTTTAGATAAGCTGAAGCTTTAATGTTCTCAAGTTTGATGCAGCGTAGAAGAGACATTCTCTTCATGTGAAGTAATTCATTTTATTCAAGGAATTAAGTAAGTAAGTAAGTAAGCAAGCAAAGTTTATTTATATAGCACTTTTTACAACAGGTGTTGTCACAAAGCAGCTTTACAAGGAAATCAGCATTACAGAAAGAAATCCGGGTCCAAGCCCCCATGAGCAAGCCAGTGGCGACAGTGGCAAGGAAAAACTCCCTAGGAAACCTTGAGAGGAACCAAGACTCAGAAGGGGAACCCATCCTCCTCTGGTCGACACCGGATAGTAAACATTGTTAGTACAAAAACAGGGAAAACAGGTGGAGCAATGATTAATTTGATTAGGTTAGCTCATGCAGCAGCAGCGGCAGCAGCATCAGCATCAATGGGGTCAGGTTGTGAGGGTGAGGTTTGCACGGCGTAGTACAGCATGGAGCTTGATGGTGGTCAAGCTGGTCCAGAGGGCTAGCGAGAAGTGACACCCAATCAAGGCAGAAGAGGCAGCAGCATCAGACGCACAGGATGGGCAGCGGTTCAACTCGGCAAAGAAAACAAAAGAAAGGAAAAACACAGAGTCAGTTCTGTAATGGGTGATTGATTAATTTGATTAGTTTATGCAACAGCAGCATCAGTGGGGTCGGGATTGTGAGGGTGACGTTTGCATGGCGTTGTACAGCAAGAAGCTCAGTGGTAGTCAAGCCGGTCCAGAGGGCTGGCGAGCAGTGGCACCCGATCAAGGCAGAAGAGGCAGCAGCATCAGAATGAACAGGATGGGCAGCTGTTCAACTCGGCAAAGAAAAGAAAGAAAGGAAAAACACACAGAGAGTCAGTTCTGTAATGGGTGTCAGTTCTGTAATGGGCGACTGATTACAGATTAAAGTGTTAGCAGAGCAGCAGAAACTCTGGCAGCTATAGAACTGACAGGGAAAACTAATTACCAAAGGCTCGACTATACAAGTAAGTTTTTAGCCTAGACTTAAACACTGAGGCTGTGTCTGAGTCCCGAACATTAACAGGAAGACTATTCCAAAGCTGGGGGGCTTTGTATGAGAAGCTCCGCCCCCTGACATAACTTTATTAATTCTAGGTATTAATAGTAAGCCAGCACCTTGTGATCTAAGTAGGCGTGATGGTTCATAGTGAGAGAGAAGTTCACTCAGGTACTGAGGGGCGGGTCCGTTTAGTGCTTTATAGGTCAGTAAGAGAATTTTATAAATCAATCCGAAATTTAACTGGTAACCAGTGTAAGGTTGATAAAACTGGGCTGATATGGTCAAACTTTCTGGTTCTAGTAAGAACTCTGGCTGCAGTGTCCTGGACCAGCTGAAGCTTCTTAAGGCTTTTGCTGGGACATCCAGCCAGCAGGGCATTACAGTAATCTAGCCTTGAAGTAATAAATGCATGAACTAACTTTTCTGCATCCTGTAGAGAGAATGCATTTCTCAATTTAGCAATATTGCGGAGATGCAGGAAGGCTGTTCTAGTAATATTAGTTATATGTGCGTCGAAGGACAGATCAGGGTCTATAATGATTTTTACAGATGATCTTGATGCAACTGAGAAAAAGTTTAAGTGTTAAATTAGTCTGTTTCTAGCCGCTTTTGGACCAAGAAGTAGAACCTCTGTTTTATCGGAGTTAAGGAGGAGAAAGTTACTCGACATCCAGTCTTTTACGTCTTTTATACAGTCTTCAATCTTGCTAAGTTTAATTTTATCATCCGGTTTGCTTGCTAAGTATAACTGAGTGTCATTGGCGTAGCAGTGGAAATTTATGCCGTGTTTACTGATAAAGGTGCCCAGTGGTAGCATATATAATGTGAATAATACAGGTCCTAAAACAGAGCCTTGTGGAACACCATACTTTACTTTTGTGAGGGCAGATGATTCACCATTTATATTAACAAACTGATAGCGATCATTGAGGTAGGACCGGAACCAGGAAAGAGCTATTCCTGTTACCCCTACAAGGTTTTCTAATCTGTCTAGTAAGATAGAGTGGTCTATTGTGTCAAATGCCACACTAAGATCGAGGAAGACTAACAAGGACACTTTTTCCTGGTCGGAGAATAATAATAGATCATTTACAATTTTTACTAGTGCTGTCTCTGTACTATGATGTGCCTAAAACCAGATTGGAATTTTTCATGGATTTGATTCCTATGCAAATAGGAGCTTAATTGTTTTACAACAACTTTTTCCAAGATCTTAGATATAAAGGGGAGATTCAAGATGGGTCTATAATTTGATAGTTCGCATGGATCGAGGTTAGCTTTCTTAATCAGCGGTCTAATTACTGCTAGTTTGAGAGTTTTTGGGATGTACCCAAGGCTAAGAGAGGAG